AGATTCTGCTCACGTCGGCAGCACGTAGACTAAAGCTGGACCCCTGCAGGGTGTGCATGGCCCCTGTTCAGCATGACACACAGATTCCTGAAGAATTCCAGGTTTTTGCAGTTCTTCACCAAAGGTGCTACAGGAACCTGCTGTGGAAACGCCTGGCTAGCGTGTGTGTCTGCCCCCAGCTTGCTTGTGCGGGGTCCGTGTGTGCTAGGCCCCTCATGGTTCCTCAGAGCAGGCCTGGGGATGGCCTAGCCCCTCCCTCGCCTCCCTGGCTCGAGTCTGGGCAGTTTGCTGTGGGGCCCCCTGGCCTCTCCTCCTGGCCCTTCTCCTTGGGGGTGGTCAGGCCTTCAGTGAGGACACAGCATGGTGGGGGCTGCGCTCGAGAGAGGCAGCCCCCCGTCCAAGCCTCCCCTTCCTCCTGGGTGTTTAAGGAGGCTTTACGAGGCTCAGAGACCATCCCCGAGGCTGTCCGGTGTCTCCCAGTTCCTCTCTTGTGCTTCTGACAGCCCAGGTTTCCACATAGCCCAGCCAGCTCATAGCAGAGGGGAAGCCGTGGCTGCCCCGAGCTGCCTCGGTTGCCTTCTGCTGCCAGAGAGCTGAGCCATCCACGCCAGTGCAGAGACCAAAGCCATACTTACAGGGCGGGCCACTGCCAGGGCCTCCGCGGGGCAGGGCTGGAGCCAGCTCCCCTGTCAGCAGCCCTCGGTGCCTCTCCCCGGAGGGCACTGGCAGGAGGGAGGCAAGAAAGGGATGCAGGCAGACAGCAAGCTCCTGTGGGGCAAGGAGGGGAGGACACTTTGTCTGCCATCTTCCTGCTGGGGGTGCAGCCTGCCTCTGGCCCACCCCACTCCAGGCTGTAGACTAGGGGCCCTCATGAGTGGGAGGGGGCTGCACTCAGGGTCTCGCCCTTCCCTGCCCTTTCTGTTGGCTCTGTGGCCATCCAAGGGCCAATTGGCTTTTTCCCCAAACAAGGGCTGGGATTTCTCCTCCGTTCCTGGAGGTGATTTCCCCTAACTTCCACCCCAGGTGGGTGACCACCTGGGGGCCAGTTACAGGTGTTTCAAGAGACCACAGACATGTGTTTTCATGAAGAAAAAAAAGAGATGATCAACTGGGAATAAATAATGGGGACCAGAGCCTTTCTCCTCACCACCCCACTATAAGATGAAAGGAGAGTGATAATAAAGTCTTGGGTTCAGTGTTATGGTGCAGTGAGTTAAGCTGTAGCCTTATGGTGCTAGCATCCCATATGAGTACCAGTTCAAGTCCCAGCTGCTCCACTTCCAGAGGAAGATGGATCAAGTGCTTGGGTCCCTGCTATCCATGTGGAAGCCCAAATGGATTTCCAGGTTCCTGGCTTCGGCCTGGACCAGCAACAGCCATTGTAGCCATCTGGGGACTGAAACAGTGAATGGAAGTGCTCTCTTGCTCTCTCTCTCTCTCCCACTCTCTTTCTCCAGCTCTACCTTTCAAATAAATAAAATTAATCTTTAAAAAATTATATATCGGCTGGCACCACGGCTCACTAGGCTAATGCTCCGCCTTGCGGCGCTGGTACACTGGGTTCTAGTCCTGGTTGGGGCACCGGATTCTGTCCCGGTTGCCCCTCTTCCAGGCCAGCTCTCTGCTGTGGCCAGGGAGTGCAGTGGAGGATGGCCCAGTCCTTGGGCCCTGCACCCCATGGGAGACCAAGATAAGTACCTGGCTCCTGCCTTCGGATAGGCACGGTGCGCCTGGGGGCCCCACAGCAAACTGCCCAGACTGGAGCCAGGGAGGCGAGGGAGGGGCTAGGCCATCCCCAGGCCTGCTCTGAGGAACCATGAGGGGCATAGCACGCATGGACCCCGCACAAGCAAGCTTTCCCCTTTGTCTCTCTCTCTCTCACTGTCCACTCTGCCTGTCAAAAAAATTATATATCTATTTATTTGAAAGTCAGGGTTACAGACACAGAGAGAAAGAGAGAGAGAGAGAGAGAGAGAGAGAGAGAGAGAGAGATCTTCCATCCACTGGCTTACTTCCCAAATGGCCAAAACAGCAGGAGCTGAGCCAATCTGAAGCCAGAAGTTTCCCCCTTGTCTCCCACATGGGTGCAGAGACCCAAGCATTTGGGCCATCTTTCACTGCTTTCCCAGGCACATTAGCAGGGAGCTGGATTGGAAATGGAGCAGCCGGGACTTGAACTGGTGTCCACATGGATGCTGGCGCTGCAGACTGGGGCTTTAACTAGCTGTGCCACAGCACTGGACCCCCTAAAATAAATTTTTAAAAATTAAATATATAAAAGAATTTAAAAAAAAAAAGAAGAAGAAGAATGGGGACGGTGCTGTGGCATAGCTGGTAAAGCCACTGCCTACAGTGCCGGCATCCCATATGGGCACCATTTCCGGTCCCGGCTGCTCCACTTCCAATCCAGCTCTCTGCTGTGCCCTGGAAAGGCAGTGGAGGATGGCCTGGGTCCTTGGGCCCCTGCACCATGTGGGAGACCCAGAAGGGGTTCCTGGATCCTGGCTTTGGATCGGCGCAGCACTGGCCATTGTGGCCAACTTGGGAGTGAACGAGTGGATGGAAGACCTCTCTCACTTTCTCTCTCTGCCTCTCCTTCTCTCTGTGTAACTCTGACTTTCAAATGAATAAATAAATCTTAAAAAAAAAAAAAGAAGAAGAAGAAGAGCAGGAGGCCGATGGAAAGCTGCTCAAGAGAGGGACCAGATTTATAAAGGCAGTCACCTTCTCCCTACTGTAGTAGTCATGGAGGAAACAGATCATGTTCCAGATTCCGATCATGTTCACCTTGTTGCTATCAATGCAGGAGGTATAACACTTTGAAACTTGCCATGAGGGCATATTTTTTATTCTTTCTTGTTTTACTTTTTTTTTTTTTTTTTTTTTGACTTCAGGCAGAGTGGACAGTGAGAGAGAGAGACAGAGACAAAGGTCTTCCTTTGCCGTTGGTTCACCCTCCAATGGCCGCTGCGGCTGGCGCGCTGCAGCCGGCGCACCGCGCTGATCTGATGGCAGGAGCCAGGTACTTATCTTGGTCTCCCATGGGGTGCAGGGCCCAAGGACTGGGCCATCCTCCACTGCATTCCCTGGCCACAGCAGAGAGCTGGCCTGGAAGAGGGGCAACCGGGACAGAATCTGGCGCCCCGACCAGGACTAGAACCCGGTGTGCCGGCGCTGCAAGGCGAAGGATTAGCCTAGTGAGCCGCAGCGCCGGCTCTCTTGTTTTACTTTTAAACAGATAGCCCTATTTATTTATCTGGATTTGTTTATTTGAAAAGCAGAGTGGCAGAGAGAGAGGGAGAGACAGGGGTCCTCCATCCATTGGTTTACTCCCCAAATGCTCCCAACAGCCAGGGCTGGGCCAGGCAGAAGCCAGGGGCCAGCAACTCTATCCAGTCTCTCATTTAGGTGGCAGGAGCCTAAATACTTGGGCCACCACTGGCTGCCCTCCAGGAGAACTAGCAGGAAGTCTGTGTCCAGCCCAGTGCTGGGTTAAGAACAGAGGCATTGCGCACCTTGTCTAAGTCACACATGGCGATTCTTTGCGGTAAGCCATGTTCTAGAACACAAGAGGGTGGAGAAATTGTTCAACCTTCTCTGTCTTCCAGGTCCACAGGGCTTGGGTCAAGGTCAATATTGCCAATACACCTGACAAACACCTGCAAGAATTTTTTAAAAAGATTTATTTATTTGTTTGAAAGACAGAGTTACAGAGAAGCAGAGGCAGAGAGAGAAGGCTTCCATTAGCTAGTTCACTCCCCAAGTGGCTCCAACAGCCAGAGCTTGGCCAATTCAAATCCAGGAGCCAGGAGCTTCTTCCACATTTCCCACGTGGGTGCAGGGGCCCAAGCACTTGCTCCATCTTTCACTGCTTTCCCAGGCCACAGCAGAGAGCTGGATCAGAAGTGGAGCAGCCAGGACTCGAATGCAGGCACTGCAGGCAGTGGCCTTGACCCACTGCACCACAGCACCAACACTGACAGTTTATTTTTTATATTTTTTATTATGAAATAGGAGCAAGAGAGGGAGAGAGGGAGAGAGAGAGAGAGAATATCTCATCCGTTGTTGATTTACTCTCAAATGCATGCAGTGGCTGGAGCTAAGAACTTAATGTAGGTCTCCCCCGTGGTTGGCAGAGACCCTACCACTTAAGCCTTCATGCTGGCTCCCGGGGTCTGCATTAACAGGAATGCTGAACTCAGGGCCCAGAGTCCCCCAGCACTCCAACACCAGGTACAAGCATCTTCACCACTGGGCTAATCCACGCGGTGAAGCTTTTAAGGATCCTCCCACGTGGCAGAAGTGATGCTCCACTCCTTGCATTTCCTTCCTTAATGAGATTGAGCATCTTTCACTGTTAACTCAGAGTGGGCATACCCTCCTCAGTAAAGATGCCTAGCCCCGTTTTTCTGTTGGGTTGTTCAATTTTCTTACAGATTTGTGAGTTCAATATGTTTTGGAGGAATAAACAAACGACTGAAACGGTTCTGAGTTGAGGAAGACAAATGAGAATTAACAGATCCACAAAAACTAAGTCTTGGAGCCGGGGCTGTGGCATAGTGGGCTAAGCCTCCGCCTGCGGCACCGGAATCCCATATGGGCGCCAGTTTGTGTCCGGCTGCTCCTCTTCCCATCCAGTTCTCTGCTTTGGTCTGGGAAAGCAAGAGAGGACAGCCCAAGTCCTTGGACCCCTGCATCCATGTTGGAGACCTGGAAGAAGCTCCTGGCTCTTGACTCTGGATGGGCTCAGCTCCGGCTGTTGAGGCCATCTGGGGAGTGAACCAGCGGGTGGAAAACCTCTCTACCTCTCAAATAAATAAAATCTTAAAACAAAAACTAAGTATCTTAAAATGAGCACTCCCGGAGGCGTCCTTCTGACCCTCGCGAGAACTTGACGAAAGCGATTCCTTCATCACAGGCTTCCCTCTGTGGGAAAGAGACTCAAGACTTCCCCTGGCCTTGGCCAGCTCGGGATCGTTCACCAACCACAACCTGCATATACATTAATCCCAGGTCCACAACCTCATGACGTAGACGCCGAGTGCAGCGCGGGATACTCTCGCGAGACTTGGTTACAGGCGATCATGTGACAGTCCAAGATGGCGGCGCCCAGCGAGGCGGAGGAAGAGGCAGCAGTTTACCTGGTCGTGAGCGGTATTCCCCCGGGGTTGCGCTCGGCCCAGCTACGGAGCTACTTTAGCCAGTTCCGAGAGCAGCGCGGCGGAGGCTTTCTCTGTTTCCACTACCGGCATCGGCCTGAGCGCGCCCCTCCCCACGCCGCTCCCGACTCCGCCCCGACTACCGCCGGCCGTGCTGCTGAGGGTCCAGCTCTCGCCGAGACTTCGGCCACCGATGCCGGCGCTGTCTCGACCCGCACCTGCTGCTGCGTGATCTCGGTACGAGGACTGACGCAAGCCCAGCGATTTCTCCGCATGTACTCGGGCCGCCGGTGGCTGGATTCCCAGGGCACTTGGCTGCCGGGTCGCTGTCTCATCCGCAGACTTCGACTACCTACTGAGGCATCAGGTACGAGAAAGATGATAAGCTGCATCCATGGGCGCTAGAACAGAGGCGCTTCTCCTGGGGGCAGTGAGGGTTAAGTCGGGCCTCTTGTTCCCGCTCTTTCGGAGTTTGGATGGATTCCGGATAGAGCTTAGGGTCCAACCTGCACCTTAATTTAATGCGGAGAGAAAAAAACAAAGAGAGGCCTATTCGGATGATCTTTAATTTTTCAGTTTATCTGGTTCCTTCTGAGACCCTTTGCTCTATCTAAGGGGTTGGTTTTGCAATGACACAGGAGGGCCACAGGTTTCTGTCAACCCAAAACTCTTCTCCAAAGAGTTTATTCAGGAGGGAAAGAGAGCTTGCAATGGGGATACACATACCTTGGTGAACCGGGGGGGTGGGGGTGGGGGGCAGAGGCCTGCCCAGGGCCACAAAGGTTTTTTGTTTTGTGTAGTTTAAAGATTTTACTTATTTATTTGAGAGGTAGAGTTACAGACAGTGAGAGGGAGAGACAGAGAGAAAGGTCTTCCTTCCGGTGGCAGACACTGGCTTTCTTGAGAGATCAGGAAGTGTGGCTTTTCATCTGGATCTTGAGTTTGTGGGAAAGAATGGTGTTCAGGTAAATGCATTTGCAAAGACACTGAGATGTGAAAGCTGGTGAAAGGGGGCACAGGGGGATGGAGTGGGAGTCGGTGCAGCTGAAAGTCAAGAGGGTCAGCGGGAACGAGATCTGGAGCAAGCTCATGTGCCCAGCCAAGACGATGACAAGTGGCATGGTTAGTAGGTGCTTCTGGCCAGGAAGGGAGGAAGGAGCAGCATTGGGCTAATGGCATTAAGCCTCGACAGATCTCTGCCTCATGTGTTCTGGAAGCTTCTGGGTTCCGAGATCCACCCTTCTCTCTCCACCCAAGGTTTGGGCTCCTTTCCCTTTAAGACCCGGAAGGAGCTGCAGAGGCGGAAGACTGACAGTGAAGCCTTCACCCTGGCCGACCTGAGGCAGCTGCCAGAGTTGAACCCACCGGTGCTGATGCCCAATGGCAACGTAGGCACTCCCCTGCGGGTCTTCCTGGAGTTGATCAGGGCCTGCCGCCTGCCCCCTCGGATCATCACCCAGCTGCAGCTCCAGTTCCCCAAGACGGGCTCCTCTCGACGCTACGGCAACGTGCCCTTCAAGTACGAGGACTCGGAGACCGTGGAGCGGGAAGAGCTTGTGTACACAGCTGAGGGTGAGGAGATACCGCAGGGAACCAGCCTCGAAGTGCCAGCCAGCCCCTGCGGAGGGCCTGAGGAGGAAGGGGAGGAGCAGGAGGAGGAGGAGCCGCACTCAGAAGACGTGAGTACGCCTGCAGCCCTGTTCTTGCTGGCACTGTTGGCAACACCATGCCTCAGCTGTGTATTACAGGGCTCCTAACCCGGGGTCCTTGGGAGGGCTCCAGGGAGCAGGAGGCCTCGCGGACGCTGACTGAAGCCGCAGGTGCGTGTGTGCACTTCTGTAGTGGGAACGTCCAGAGCATCAGTTGGAGGATTCTTCTTTTGAAGATTTTATTTGAAAGGCAGGGTTATGGAGAGAGACAGAGACAGAGACAGAGAGAGAGAGACAGAGAGAGAGAGAGAGAGAGAGAGAGAGAGAGAGAGAGAGGTTTTCCATCTGCTGGTTTACTACCTACCGGGCCACAGTGACGGGGGCTGGGCCAGGCTAAAACCAGGACCCGGGACCCAGGACTTTCTTCCAGGTCTTGCACATGGGTGCAGGGCCCATGCACTTGAGCCATCCTCTGCTGTTTTCCCAGGTGCGTTAGCTGGGAGCTGGATTGGAAGTGGAGCAGCCAGAACTTGAACTGGTGCCCATATGGGATGCTGGGGTTGCAGGCCAGGGCTTTAACTCGCTGCGCCAAGGTGCCAGCCCCTAGTTAGATTTCTCAGTGGGTCATCTTTTCATTTCCTCAGAAGGAATAGAAGAGCTTTTCACAAATGAAAACGTACCGGCCAAGAGAGGCACAGTGACTTGCCTAAGGTCATCTAAGTAGAGACAGCGCTGGGATGTGAACCCCTCCACCCCCTGCTTCTCTAACCTCCGTGGGCTTCCACCCTGTGGCTGGAAGTCACTTCTACTTTCTGACCTTGAACCAGCAGATTGAACACCAGCCTCTGCTCTGACTTTGTCAGCGAATGGACAAGTCTTTGACTGCCTTCTCCAAGCCTGGTTGTCCATCCATAAAATCAAGTGATGTGGGATTAGTTAGGAATTTTTTATAGTGTCTATTCTGGGTGAAAAGTAATTCACCTGGGGCCAGCGTTGTGGCACAGTGGATAAAGCCCCTGCCTGCACCCAGTATGGGCACTGGGTGGAGTCCCAGCTGCTGCACTCCTGATCCATCTCCCTGCTAATTGCCTGGGAAGAAGCAGCAGAAGATGATCTAAGTGTTTGGGCCCCTGCCACCCATGTGGGAGGCCCGGCTGAAGCTCCTGGCTCCTGGCTTTGACCTGCCCCAGCCCTGGCCATTGCAGCCATCTGGGAAGTGAACCAGTGGATGGAAGCTCTCTGTCTATATATAACTCTTTAAATAAATAAATCTTTAAAAATAAAAAAAAAGTAAGTGACCCATGCTTTCGCAGCCCAGCGTCGTTAGTACAGCTGGACCACGTCCTTGAGGTGCTACCATCCTGACGGTGTCAGCCGCTGCTGCAGCCTCCTGGGGTCTACCTGGGACAGGGGCCCCCAGGGTTTCACTCCAGCAGTCAGCCTGTCTTTCCACAAGTCCAACCACAGTTGTAAGCCAGGGGCTAGTGTAAGATTTTGTTCAAAAGCATTCTAAGACCCATTTCCTGCCCTCAGGAAGCTCATGTTTCCCCAAAGGGAGAGAAGCAGCTTCTGGAAAGGCTGCGTGGGTGGCGATTTGGTTTGCACACCAGCTCTGCTCTCCGGTCTAATGTTTCGGGCAAGTCACTTGACTCCGGAACCTCAGCTCATCTGGAAAATGGGAGTAACGGTCCTCATCTCACAGGGTGCTGGGGTGACTGAAGGGTTTGACACAGAAGCCACACAGTGTTAGTTCTTGTCCTTCTTTCTTGGGACATGTATAAAGGCCTAAACTGGATGTGTTGATTAGCACTGAGATTGGCGAGGCACCTGTTCGGGAGGGCTCTGTGCAGCTGTTAGGACCCAAGGGACATCTGGAGAAGAGGCTGTTGGAGGGGAGGGTAGACATTTCAGGCATGGGGAACCCCATGACCAAACACACAGAGCCAAGAGTGAATCAGGCTTGTGGGGGAAGGGGAAGAAAGAGGGGAACGAGAGGTGTGTTGGCCAAGGCTTCAAGGGCCAAACTCCTGCTACTGCTTGGAGAAATCGGAAGGGATGGAGGTGAGGGCCCACTCCCACGCACATCTCGCACGGGAGCAGGCGGGTCACCTCCCCTCCTTCTCCCAGGACGATGACCGGGGTGAGGAGTGGGAGCGGCACGAAGCACTGCACGAGGATGTGACGAGGCAGGAGCGAACCACCGAGCGGCTCTTCGAGGAGGAGATCGAGCTGAAGTGGGAGAAGGGTGGCTCCGGCCTGGTGTTCTACACCGACGCCCAGTTCTGGCAGGAAGAAGAAGGAGGTAAAACCAGTGCCCAGGCAAGGGCAGGGGCCATCGCTTCTGCATTCTCTTGGGGTCCCCTCTTCTGCATGGCAGATCCCTGGTGGTAAGCTCAGACAGAAGGCCAGGGATCAGCTTACCCTGAGACCAGTCTTCCTTTCTGGGAGTGGGTTATCAGTGGGATGGAGAGAAGATGAGTTCCAGCCTCATCATTGTTCCCAGCTCTGGCATCTGTCTCTAGCTTCCTGACAGTGTGGACCCTGGGAAACAGTGGTGCTGGCTCAAGTAATTGGGTTCCTGCCAATCACATGAGAGACCTGGATTATGTTCCAGGCTCCCAGCTTTGGCTCAGGCCAGCCCCAGCTGATGTGGGCATTTGGGGAGTGAGCCAAACAAAAGTCCCAAGTTGTAGAACATATGTCTTAACTCTAGGTTAGCTCTCAGCAGAACTGAAGATCCTTACGGTACTCTTCTGGATGCTTTTCTATCCCTACAGACTTCGATGAACAGACAGCCGATGACTGGGACGTGGACATGAGTATATACTACGACAGAGGTACTGGGCAAGGACTGGCAACCACGGGACGGGGGACTGGTGCCTGGCCTTGCAGCGACACTTTGCCAGACCTGTTTAACAGAGGAACAGCTCCCTTGGGGCAGCCCAGAGAGAGTTCCTCTCTTAAGTCATCTCTAGTTGAGTGCATGCAGTAGTGGTTGTAGACAGAACTTTTCTTTCCTTGTGGAGGAGAAGACAGGGCCTCTGGGAGCTCTGGGGCTGATGGGCTGCTAGTACAGTGGGATAGTCAGGAGCTCAAGTTCTGATCAGAGCAGCAAAAAATAACAAGTGAGGGGGTTTGTAGAGGGGAGACTGGGTTCAGCCCCATCTCCCTCATTTGCTGGCGCTGTGACTTCTGCACTAGAATTTCCTCACCTGTAAGATGGGGTGGGGCAGCCTGGTCCTAATGTTGCCTGGCGCACAGTCTAGTGATAGAACGTAACGGAGCACCATGAAATGAATAAATCTCATAGGGTCCTAGAAGCCTGATTTCCCCCTTCTGCTGAGGGCCCCCCTTCCACAAACTGGCTTCTGGTACCCCAGGTGCTGGAGACAAGGATGCCCGAGACGCTGTCCAGATGCGTCTGGAACAGAGACTCCGTGAAGGCCGGGAAGATGGCTCTGTGATTGAACGCCAGGTGGGAACCTTTGAGCGCCACACCAAGGTGAGTAGTGCTGTGCCCCGCCCACTGACCCCCTTTTCCTTCTCTGCCTCCGTCCCTCCCCCTCCTCCCATCCCCATCCTCTTCCTCGGCAGGAGCCCCAAGTTTTGAGTCTTGTCCCTTCCCTCTGCAGGGCATTGGGCGGAAGGTGATGGAGCGACAGGGATGGGCCGAGGGCCAAGGCTTGGGCAGCAGGTGCTCAGGGGTGCCCGAGGCATTGGATGGTGATGGCCAGCACCCCAGGTGCAAGCGTGGATTGGGGTGAGTGTGGCTGAGGGACTCGTTGAGGCTCCAAGGCAGCCTTCAGCTGTACCCTGGTTTCCTTTTTCCCAGTTGGACGTGGGAAGGTGCTTGGGGACAAACTTTGAAGCAGAATTAGAAGGAAAAAGCGGTTCTGGCACTGTTTTGTTTAGACCAAGCGCTGACTTAACAGGTTGTTGATCGCCTGTTCGCTCATTCTGCAGTCTGCAGTTAGGACTCGAGAGCTGCTGGGGAGTCTCCAGTGACGGAACCAGCGTGTGGCTGAGGCCCCCGCTGCTGGCGCTGTCAGTGGATAGAGGAGCCGAGAGCAAAGATCCAGACCAGATAGTTGTAGCTTGTTTTTAAGATTTATTTATGGCTGGCTCTGCGGCTCACCAGGCTAATCCTCCGCTTTGCGGCGCCAGCACACCGGGTTCTAGTCCCGGTCGGGGCGCTGGATTCTGTCCCGGTTGCCCCTCTTCCAGGCCAGCTCTCTGCTGTGGCCAGGGAGTGCAGTGGAGGATGGCCCAGGTGCTTGGGCCCTGCACCCCATGGGAGACCAGGAAAAGCACCTGGCTCCTGGCTCCTGCCATCGGATCAGCGCGGTGCGCCGGCCACAGCGGCCATTGGACGGTGAACCAACGGCAAAAGGAAGACCTTTCTCTCTGTCTCTCTCTCTCTCACTGTCCACTCTGCCTGTCAAAAAAAAAAAAAAAAAAGTGACATGGTGAGTGTTTTAAGTCGGTGGGCAGAAGTGAAAGAATGAAATCAGATGCAGTGGGATTTGAGCCTGCCGCCCACCGGAAGGCGCTGGTGCAAGGCATCTTGTAGGAAGAGTGCCCCTTATGTCCTGGGAGAAGGAAATGAGGGTGGCATTAGAACAAAACAGAAAGAGGAGGAGACTGAAGGGGACAGCTTACGCCGTCTCGAGTGCCCGGCCTGATGGGGGAGACTTGGGCTCTGAGGTTCCCGTCTCTTCCGCTTCCAGCTGACGGCTGTGCACCTCGTGGATTCTCACTACTGCACAGACCCAGCCAAGTTCATTTCGGTACTGTGTACCTCCCTGGCCACCATGCTGCACGTGGAGCTGCCTCACGTCAACCTCCTCTCCAAGATGGACCTCATCGAGCACTACGGGAAGCTGGGTAAGACCTCCCGCCCCGGGCGTGCAAAGGCGCAAGCCGCTGCAGCCGGCCAGGCTGAGGCCGAGGTCTCAGCAGAGGGAGGCTGCCTCGGGCGGGCCGCGCAGGCCTTGTGATGGTAACCACAGGCACGTCCTGATCTGGCCCGTTTCTGTCACTCTGTGCCAGATACCGTTGTAGATTCTGGAGACGAGAGCTGCGGTTGGTGACGTGGGTGTGAAGGAATTAAAGCAAGGTGACCTGACAGCGGCAGTGAGTGGGGGCTGAGCGGTATCTGACTGTTCTGGGGCAGTCGCGTCTGAGCTGAGGCCTGAGTGTCGAGAAGGGGCCAGTGGAGGGACAGATAGACATAAAGGCCTTGTCTTGGTTTGGGCTGCTGCACCCAAAATACCGTAGACCAGCTGGGTCCAGCCACATTTATTTCTAACGGTTTTGGAAGCCAGGAAATTCTGCATGAGGCTCTGGCAGATCTGGAGTCCGATGAATGCCTGCTTCGGATAAATTATCGGAAGTGAGATTGTTGAGTCAAGGTATGGCAGTGTGCGTGTGCGTGTAGGTAGGAGCCTGCTGCACGCTGACAGCTGTTTTCTGAAATGGCTGTGCTAATTTACTGTGCCGTGTGCAGGATGCTGCACCAGAAGAAAATACTGTGGCAGTCCTCAGACTTCAGCCTGATGCCAGCTGCCCCGACACTGGTTTCTCTCCTTAGCCTTCAACCTGGACTACTACACAGAGGTCCTGGACCTCTCCTACCTGCTCGACCACCTGGCTTCTGACCCTTTCTTCCGCCACTACCGCCAGCTCAATGAGAAGCTGGTGCAGCTCATCGAAGACTACAGCCTGGTCTCCTTTATCCCTCTGAACATCCAGGTACTGGGCACTAGCAGGCCTCTTCCCCTGCTGTCTGGCTGTGCTTGAGACTCCCCAAGCCAGGGGCACAGGAAGCTGTGCAGACAGTGGTCTTTGTCCTGGCTTGGACTGTCACAGGGTCCTCTTGGTTTTGGTGGGAAAGGCTGTGGTGGGCAGGATTCCAGTAAAGAGAGTGGCCCACGTTCTCACCTGATCTCTTCTGGAGTCCTGGGTCCCCTCCATACACGTCCTCCTCGGTGTGAAAAAAGGTGGGTTCAGGAAGCCCTCAGCGAGACACTTGTCCTCGTCCAGGGCGTGTCTGTCAGGCCCGTCAGCTGGGCAGGTGCCCAAACCCTGTGCCTCTTACCTTGCACCCTGCAGAGAGCGCCTGGGAGAGACAGGTACTTTGTAGATTCCTTTCCTTGAACTGACTTGCCTCTACCCTTTCTCTTGTTTTTATTTATTTATTTATTTGAAAGGCAAAAAGAGCTCAGATCTGCGGATTCATTCTCCATTTGCTAAAAACAGCTGGGGCTGGGTCAGGCCAAAGCCAAGAACTGGAATTCAGTCCAGTTTTCTACATGGATAGCAGGAGCCCAACTGTTTGAGCCATCACCTGCTGCCTCCCAGAGTGTGCATTAGCAAGAAGCTGGAATTGGTCACAGAGCCGGGCCTCAGACCCAGGCACCTAATATGAGAGGCTGGCATCTCAAGCAGCACCTTTTGTTTTGTTTTGTTTTTATAAGATTTACTTATTTATTTGAAGTGCAGGGTTACAGAGAGAGAGAGGTCTTCTCCCCAAATGGCCGCAGTGGCTGGACCTGGGCTGATCTGAAGCCAAGAACCAGGAACATCTTCTGGGTCTCCCATGTGGGTACAGGAGCCCAAGCACTTGGGCCATCTTCCACTGCTTTCCCAGGCCACAGCAGAGAGCTGGATCAAAAGTGTAGCAGCCGGTACTCAAACCAGTGCCCACATGGGCAGCAGGCACTGCAAGTGGCAACTTTACCTGTGATGCCACAGCTCCAGCCCTTAAGCAGTATCTTAATTTTCATGTCAGTTGCCTGTCCCTGGTTCTTCCCTTTTTCTTTCTTTCTTTCTTTTTTTTTTTTTTAAGAGTTATTTATTTGAGAGGCATAGATAGAGATGTTCAATGTACTTGGTCACTCCCCAAATGGCTGCAATAACCAATGTTAGTTCAAGTCAAAGCCAGGAGCCAGGAACTCCATCCTGGTCATTCACGTGGGTGGCAGGGACCATTCTCTTGGGCCATTCTCTGCTGCTTTCCCGGGCTCATTAGCAGGGAGCTGGATTGAAAGTGGAGCAGCTGAGACACCAACCAGTGCTCCTCTGGAATGCCAGCATCGCAGGGGGTGGCGTAACCCGCTGTGTCATAATGCAGGCCCCCATCTTTCCTTTGTAATCCATACTTTTTTAAAAAGATTTATTTATTTATTTGAAGAATTACACAGAGAGAGGAGAGGCAGAGAGAGAGAGGTCATGCATCTGTTGGTTCACTCCCCAGATGGTTGCAACGGCTGGAGCTGCGCCGATCCAAAGTCAGGAGTGTCTTCCCTGTCTCCCACATGGGTGCAGGGGCCCAAGGACTTGGGCCACTGGGCCATCTTCTGCTGCCTTCCCAGGCCATAGCAGAGAGCTGGACAGGAAGTGGAACAGCTGGGTCTCAAACTGGCACCCGTATGGGATGCCGGTGCTTCAGGCCACGGTGTTAACCCACTGCGCCACAGCGCCGGCCCCAATCCATGCTTTGTTCTCTGTTATGAGATGGCAGATTCTGTGTGTGAACATAGCAGGTAGCACTTGCTGAAGGCCTTCTCTGCTAGGCACTGTAGCAGGGACTATACAAGCAGTGATTTGATGCACCCCCATTCGGTGATGTGGGCTATTCTTAACACCATGTGGTGATGAACCAGTGTAGTGAAATACCGTACATACTTACTGAATGCCTCCTTGATGACCAGTGGCACTGAGCCAGGGCTGGGGATCCCTCTGAAACAAGCCCCTGGCCTTACAGGGGACGTGGTTGGGTAGGGGAGGCAGGTGAGTTGATGTTCCTCAGGTGAAGGACAGTCAGCTCTCTGCTGTGGCCTGGGAAAGCAGGGGAGGATGCCCTGATTGCTTGGGCCCCTGCACCCACACGGGAAACCTCAGGGAAGCTCTTGGCACCTGGCTTCAGATCAGCCGAGCTCCAGCTGTTGCAGTCATTTAGAGTGAACCAGCAGATGGAAGACCTCTTTCTCTGTCTCTGCCTTTCAAATAAATAAATCTTTTTTTTTTTTTTTTTAACAGATTTATTTATTTTACTTGGATGTCAGAGTTAAACAGAGAAGGAGAGGCTGGGGGTGGGAGGGTCTTCCATCCGCTGGTTCACTCCCTAGGTGGCTGCAACGGCCGGAACTGCGCGGATCCAAAGCTGGGAGCCAGGAGCTTCTTCCAGGTCTCCTATGTGGGTGCAGGGGCCCAAGGACTTGAGCCATTTTCCACTGGTTTTCCAGGCTATCGCAGAGAGCAGGATTGGAAGTGGAACAGCCAGGACTCGAACTGGTGTCCATATGGGATGCTGGCACTACAGGCAGCAGTCTCACCCACTACACCACAGCGCTGGCCCCCATAAATAAATCTTTAAAAAAAAAAAAAAGATGAGGATGGGGGATGGTGTCTACAGTAGGAGATCCAGGGGAACTTGGGAGAGATGGAGGAGCTTTTGTGTTCTGGTCAGGGTGGTTGCATCAGGAAAGAGCCACGCGGCACTCCCCCCAGGCCTGGGGAGCTGTGTGCCCAGAGGCACCACGGGGCCGGACGGTGCCTGGGAAGGTGTGTTTGAGGAGGCCTGCTGTCCACTGCAGCCTCCATCCTCACAGGGCTGTTTCTGTCCTTCCTGCTCAGGACAAGGAGAGCATCCAGCGAGTCCTGCAGGCTGTGGATAAAGCCAATGGCTACTGTTTTGGAGTCCAAGAGCAGCGAAGCCTGGAAGCCATGATGTCTGCAGCAATGGGAGCTGACTTCCATTTCTCCTCGTATCCTTTCTGTCCAGCCTCTCCTGGCCGTAGCTGAGGGGGTGAGACATGCGGTCTAGGAGTGGCCTCGGGAGGTGCAGTCACTGCCCTTGTAGGTGACTGATTCCGTGAAGGTGGGTTCCCTGTGACCGTCTTTCCTATGCTTCAGGATTGCTGTCCTGAGGATAAGAGAGGATGCCGATCCGAAGCAGCAGCACCTTCGACCCAGAAGTGACCCCGTCACTGGGAGAAATGCAAAGGGTTCTGTTGGCCTGGAGTGTTGTGTGTGGAGGGCATCGGAGGGTGCCGGGGTGCAGGGGCAGGCTGGCTGGCAGTGGAGGGCTTGGATGCGCTACTGCAGAGCGTGGACTTCAGTTCACGGTTGAGTACTGTTCCACTAGTGCTGTCAGGGCGTGCCTGGATCAGATGCACATTTTACAGAAGCTCTTCCGAGTGTGGAAAGCACACTTAAGGGATGTGATTTGGGACGGCGGAGTTTTAGTCCTGCTAAGTGAGAACAGAATGAAATACATATATAGGGAGACTAGAAAGAGAACACAGATCAGAAAAGGATGCGGACTGCAGGAGCTGGTGACTAAACGGTTACGGGTGGAACAGACCAAAGGCTGCAGGCTTCCGGCTTAGACGGTGGGATGGGTGGTTGTGCCAGTCACCGAGGCAGAAGAGGGCTAGGGCGAGATGAGGTGGGAGCCGGCAGATGGCAGATGTGTTCTGTAGATGTGTGTGTATGATTGACTTTATTTATTCGAAAGGCAGAGTGACAGGAAGAGAGAGATCTTCCATTTGTTGGTTCACTCCCCAAATAGCTGCAACAGCCAGGAGCCAGGAATTCCATCCTGGCGTCTTACAAGGGTGGCGATCTTCGCTCCGTTCCTTGGCATGTAAGCTGGATTAAAAGTGGAGTAGCGGGACCAGCATTGTGGCATAGCAGGTAAAGCCACTACCACCTGTGACACCAGCATCCCAAATGGGTACCAGTTTAAGACCCGGCTGCTCTACCTCTGATCCAGCTCCCTGCTAATGGCCTGGGAAAGCAGCAGCAGGTGACCCAAGTGCTTGGGCCCCAGCACCCACCTGGGAGACCCGGACGAAGCTCCTGTCTCCTGACTTCTGGCTGCTGGCTTCAGCTTGGTCTAGCTCCAGCTGTTGTGGCCATCTGGGGAGTAAACCAGGGGTTGAAAGATTCTCTCTAACCCTTCCTTCAAATAAATACATTTTTGAAACAAAAAAGTGGAGTAACCAAGACGTAAAACCAGCAAGTGGCAGTTTAACCTGCTGCACCACGATGTCAGGCCGGATGTGTTGTGTCCAGAGCCATGCAAGAGACAGTGAGGCCTTTGAGCAGAGTTGGTGAGGGAGCTGTGGTCACGGGCTGGTGTCTGTCAGATCACAGAGACCGGACATGAAGCAGGACAGGGCAGCCCCGGCCCTCCAGGCCGATGGCCTCAGAGTCCACATCTACATGGGATGCAGGAGACGAGGGGGGCTCCAGACTGTTCGGGTGCAGAGCCTCACTTCCAGCCAGCGCTTTGTGCTCTGTGTTAGATGCTTTCCTGTGCGGGGACAGAGCTCCCAGAAGCAGAGGAGTGAGGAACGGTGGCAGTGGGGTGTGATGGAGCCATAAAGGGGCCACCTTGCACCGGGGGTAATGTTGGCCAGTTCATCTACATGTGCTAGCAAGAGGAAGGGGATTTAAAGAGCTGTGTATTATGTTGCTGTAATATTTTACTGCACATCATTTCATGTGCTCCGCGCGTCACACAGGGTTGTGTTCACAGAACTGTGGATATCGCTGCATTTAACCAGTGATTTGAAGAATATTTTTTTTAATAAAGATTTATTTTTCATCTGGGAGGCAGAGTGGCGCAGAGAGAGAGGGAGACAGAAGGGATTTTTCCATCTGCTGGTTCACTTCTCAAATGGCCACAAAGGCCAGGGCTGGGCCAGGCCAACGCCAGGAGCCAGGAATTCCATCTGGGGCCCAAGTACTAGGGCTGTCTGCTGCTTTCCCAGGCACATTAGCAGGGAGCTGATTGGAATCAGAGCAGCTGGGACTCAACTGGCGCCTGGGTATGGGATGCTGGTGCTGCAGGCAGTGACCTAACCTCCTGCTGCACAGTGCCAGCCCCTGGAGCAGTGTCCCAGGGCACTTTTGCCCATACATATTCGTGCTAGTTTTAGATTCTGCCCCTCATCCTAACCCCCTTAAGGTTCCACTCCACTGTGGGTAAGAAACCAGAGATTGGCACAAGGAAGGGAGTGAACAGCTCTACTGAGGGGGGCAGATGGGTGAGAGAAGCTTCACGGAGGTCATGGGCCGAGCGGAGTGCCCACCACACCCTCAGCAGTGCCCGGGAGCCGTGGGCCCTGGCACCAGGAACATTGGCCCCGCTTGGGCTGTGCTGGCCCTAAGTGGGAACAGGAACGCTACAGGCAGAGGTGTAGGGGCTTCAAATTGGGTGGCGTGACTTGTGGGCGGGGCTTTGGACTGTGGCGAATGGGGCCACATGCAGAGCTTCTGGGGCCCTGCTCAGAGCATGGACTCAGGGAAGGGTTTCTGATCGCGACAGGTCAGGCAAGATGGACTCCAGTGGCGCTGAGCCGTTGTCAGAGGCAGCTTCCCCGAGTGACGCGGGGGCCCGGGTCAGAATCAGTCTGAGTAGGGGTGAGATGGGTTCCGATGGCTGGAGCCAGAGGGATGGCACAGAAAGGCCACTTCGTGGATGAAGCGGCTGGGCTCTGAGTCAAGGACTCCACCCAGGCTCCCACGTGAGTGGCAGGGGCCGCTGTCTGCTGCCTTCCCCGCACGTTAGCAAGGAGCTGGACCAGAAGCAAGGTAGCCAGGGCTTGAACCAGCACTCCAATACGGGGTGCTTATATTGGAACCAGTAACAAAACCTCCCGCTCCACAACACCGGCCCCCATAAATTCCTTCTCTGGCAGAAAAAGAGAAGTCACAAACATTTATTGAGTACCCAGTATGTGCAGGTGCCATGCCCGGCACTTCCTGTTCATTGTCCCATTTGATCCTCACAACAACGCAAGTGATACTTACGGATGAGAAGAAGGAAGTGGGAAAAGCAGGATTTGAACCCCCTGGCCTGACTTCGGTGCCATGTGATGTACCTGTGAGCCTAGCAGTGTGGGAAGAGGCAAAGCCAGGAGCACTCAGGTCTGGCTGCCTTGGTGGGCTTCCCAGATCTCCTAGGTCCTTGCGGCCTGTGGTGTGAAGCTGTAATGAGAAGGAAGAGGGGTGGGGGGGATTGGAGGGCAGGCATCCCTGGAGGTCTGATCCTGCACAGACCAGCTTCCCATCTGCCTATGCTATCACCTTGACACACCCTCCCTCAGCACGCTGGGCATCCAAGAGAAATACCTGGCACCCTCGGACCAGACAGTGGAGCAGGAAGCCATGCAGCTCTAGCTGCGGGCTGAGCCCTGGAAAACAGGGTCCATAACCCAGCACTGGGGAAGCAGAGGCTCCCAGTGGGCAGTGAGCGCTGGCCAGCTTAGCGGGCACAGACCCAGGAGCAGTCTTCTGAGCCAGAGCCGGGATGCTGGCACGGGGCCATCCAGCGAAGGGTTTCTGGCCAGAAAGCCAGACGTGGCGCCGAGCGGAGTGCCCACCACACCCTCCGCAGTGCCCGGGAGCCGTGGGCCCTGGCACCAGGAGCTGAACAGTGGCCCCGCTTGGGCTGTGCTGGAAAGTGCTACAATATAAGAGTTTATTTTCTGCTTTTTTGTGGCTGAAAAAGTTTCTTCAATCCTCCAGGCTGAGGGAGCTTGGGCAGAGCGAAGGGGATGTCACCCTCCCTTGGAAGAGTCCCATTCATACCGACAGTGTTTCCCAAGCACCTAATGTGTCATCCTAGAGGCTGGCTTCCTCCCTCCCCTCCCCTCCTCTCCCCTCCTCTCCCCTTTCCTCTTTTGAATGATTTTTTTGGAAACAGTACAACAGAAATGTCCCATCTTCCACTAACTCCCCAGATGCCTGCAGTAGCCAGAGCTGGGCCAGGCTACAGGAACCAGAACTCAATCCAAGTATTGAAGTCGCCACCTGCTGCGCCCCCAGGTGCACATCGTCAGGAAGCTGGATGCAGAAGCGGAGAACTCAAACCCAGGCACTTCGTACGGGATGTGCAGGTCCCAAACGACAGCTCCGGGCCGAGCCCGCCCCATCTGCTGGAGAACTGAGGGTCTCCAGTCGTGCGTTTTGTTAATCCCCATTGTATCGGGGAGCCTCAAGCTCCACCTTTTCCAGGCAACACGTCCTACTTATTTTAAAAATATTTATTTATCTGAAAAAGAGAGAGAGGGAGAGCTCTTCCATTCACTCATTCACTCCCCAAATGGCCACAATGGCCGGGGCTGGGCCAGGCTGAAGCCAGGACTTCTTGGTCTCCCACATGGGTGCAGCAGGACTGGGCTGTCTTCTACTGCTTTCCCAGGCACATTAGCAGAGGTGAAGCAGCCGGGACTCGAACTGTTGCCGACGTGGGATGCCAGCACTGCAGGCAGCTAACCCACTGCACCACAACACCAACCCCCGTCCTATTTAATATTTTATTTTGTATTTCATAGTTTTGCTCTTTTTGGCAGGTTTCAGCCTAATTTTACACTTATGACAATAATTATAAGTTCACCTCAAAGATGCTATTTCTACAAACCGAGTTGGTTAAAGGAAAATGTAAAGTGTATGATATAACAGTTACAAAGGTGTGGCAAAATTGAGATTGGTTTTGCTCTTGCCGCTGGTCAGGTACAGTACATATTTTGAGCCAGTAGGTGGCGTCCCCGACTTACTTTTTACAATTACAACCTGGAGACAGCTGGGGAAGGTGGTTGTGCACATTTGGGGCCTGTTAACAGCTGAAGCTGTGGTATTTTACAGAGAGCTTCCACACATCTCACCCTTGATGGTTCTCACGGCAACTCCTCGAGTTAGACAGTCGGGAATATCACTGTGCCATTACCCAAAAGATGGAGTGATGGGGACAGGGAGTGACGGAGAGATCTTCCATTTGGTGGTTCACTCTCCAAATGCCTGCAGTGGCCAGGAGTAGCCCAGCAAGAGCCAGGGTCTCCATCCTGGTCCCCTGTGGGGGTGGCAGGGACCCAAGAGCTCAGGCCATCATCTACTGCCTCCCAGGCCTACAGCAGGAAGCTGGAACTGGAACCAGCATTCCCAGTGTAGGACGCATGCGACCCAAGTGGCGGCCTACTGCTCAGCACACAATGCCCACCTGGCACCTCTTTTTGTGGAAATGAGACCAAAAGGTGAAGATTTGAACTTGAGTTGGCCCAGCTCTCTTTCATAGCCTGCCTTGCTGACTGAATTGTGAATGTGGCGTCTGTGGTTGACTTAGTGGTGAAACGTCTCCGCCCTCGCTGGACAGAATCTAGCCATCGACAGAAAGAACTGGGGCACCTAAAATGTATAAGTTAAGGGAAAGGTAGGTCACTGGTGGTTTGAGCCGCTGGAGAATTCCATTTGGGAAAATACTCTGCCAGCACTGACACAGGGCTAACAGCCTTGCCTGCCAGTGTCGGGAGCTGGAGCTGAAGGCAGAAGAGTGGGCGCTGCGGGGAGGCCGCTGTGGCTGGGACGGTCTGAAAGCCGGCCCGGCTCCCACGCCTGGCTGCAGAGGGGATAATGATGGGGTGCTGCTTCCCCAGCCTCTTTCATCTGGACTTCAAAGCACCTCAGCCCTATTAACACCCTGTACAGCAGGTGGGGAGTTCCAGCAGAGCAAGCCAGGGAAACTGAGGCCAGGAGGCACCGCCTGGGGCTGGCTGTGAGTCACCTGTGGGGCCTGGAGCCCAGGAATCCTGACGCCGGGGCTGCTGAACAAATCCCTCATCAGGGCGTGCGGGTTTCTTAAGACAGCACCAATAGCTGCGGTCAGGAGTTCTGATGCTGGCCCGTCGGTGAGGCCCCAGCTGTCACCAGAATGGCCCAGATGGGGCTGGAAGGCGTCACCGCGGACTTCATGACCTCATGTGCAGGCCCCCAGCATTTAGCCTCTGTAGTCACTTCAGGCTTTGGTGTGACTGCAGATGTATCTGCTTCCCCCAATAAATGGAGCTTCCATCTCCCGCTGATGGCAAAATGACCTTCTGTTCTCTGTAGACACCAAGGTGATGGGGAGGGGACAGCATCGAGCAGATGGGGAGATGCCTGGGTTCCAAGTGAGGCCCATTCAGTGAACAATGGTGTAAGGTAAGGGGACGTTCATCTTCAGTAAGACTGGCACATGGCAGCCATCTTGAAGTTATTTGTTTTTTTGAAAGGAAGAGGGAGAAAGAGTTTTACCATCTGCTAGTTTAATCTCCAAATGCCGACAACAGCCAAGGCTAGGTCAGGCAGAAGCTAACAGCCTAGAGCTCATTCTGGGTCTCCCAAGTACGTGGGCCATCACCTTACCTATTAGCAGGAAACTGGCCTTGAACTCAGGTGTGGGATGTGAGATCCCAGGCAGCATTCCAGCAGCTGCACCAAATGCCTACCCCACAACCACAACCAAGACTTGTTTACTCCCCAAATACCCAACAACAGCGGGGACTGGGCTGGGTCCGAAGCCAGGAACTCAATCCAAGTCTTCATTGTTTTTTTTCTTTCCTAATAAAAATGAAAAAAAATTTTTGAAAAATGAAAAGAGAAAATAAGTCACTTATAATCCTATAACAGAAATGATCATTAATATTCACAACCAATAATAAATTGTCTATCAAATGTATGAATGCATTTTGTGTATTCTTTCAGTCTTTTGTATAAATACATAGGGATGGTGGGGCTGACATGTAGGAGGTAAAGCTGCCGCGTGCAATGCCAGCATACCACATAGGTGCCGGTTCAAATCCCAGCTGCTCTACTTCCAATCCAGCTCCCTGCTAATGTGCCTAGGAAAGCAGCAGACGGTGGCTCAATTGCTTGGACCCCTGAACCCACATGGGAGACCCAGAAGAAGCTCCTGGCTTCAGCCTGGCCCTGCCCTGGCCATTGTGGCATTTGGGGAGTGAACCAATGATAGAAGATCACTTTGTCTCTCTCTCTCTGAAACTCTAATTTTCAAATAAATCTTTTTAAAAATAAATATATAAGGATGGATTTTGTATTTAAGTGAAATTTTTAAAAGATTTGTTTATTCACTTGAAAGGCGGAATTACAGAGATCTCCCATTGACTGGTTCACTTCCCAAATGGCCACAATGGTCAGGGCTAGGCCAGGCCAAAGCCAGGAGCCTAGAACTCTATCCGGGACTCCCATGTAGTTGGCTGGGGCCCAAGTACTTGGAACATCTTCCCCTGCTTCCCCAGGCACATTGGTAGGGAGCTGGCTGGGAAGTGGAACAGCAGGGACTGGAACCAGCGCTCACATGGGAGGCTGGCGGTGGAGGCAGAGGCTTAACCTTGCTGTGCCACAACTCTGGCCCCATGGAATATTTTGTAATTGTTTTTCATCTTGCTCTTTTTAGTTAACAAATTATACTGTATAATTAAGAATATACAGGCTGGCGCCATGGCTCACTAGGCTAATCCTCCACCTGTGGCACCAGCACCCCAAGTTCTAGTCCTGGTTGCTCCTCTTCCAGTCCAGCTCTCTGCTGTGGCCCGGGAGGGCAGCGGAGGATGGCCCAAGTGCTTGGGCCCTGCACCCGCATGAGAGACCAGGAAGAAGCACCCGGCTCCTGGCTTCAGATCGCCTCAGCGCCGGCCGTAACGGCCATTAGGGGAGTGAACCAACAGAAGGAAGACCTTTCTCTGTCTCTCTCATTGTCTATAATTCTCTCTCTCACTGTCTAACTCTGCCTGTCAAAATATATATATATACAACGAACTTTTTTTTTTCTGTAAGTTTTTTATTTGAAAGGAGAGACAGAGGGCACTTCATCTGCTGGTTCACTCCCCAGATGGCCACAGTGGCCAGGGCTGAACCAAACCAAAGCCAGGAGCTGAGAACTTCTTCCAAGTCTTCCAAGTGGGTGGCAGCCCAAATACTTGGGCCCTCCTCCACTGCTTTTCCCAGGCCTTTTTCCAGGAAGCTGGAGTGGAAATGGAGCAGACAGCACAAAAAAAGGCTTCCATATGGGATGCCAATGTCATAGGCGGTAGCTTTACCTACTATACCACAACACCAGTCCCCAAAGAAATTTATTTTTAATTATTTTATTTGAATTGGCATTTTGGCTAAGATGAAGTGTAAAAAAAAAAAAAAAAAGATTACTCTGTTTGAAAGGCAGAGATACACAGATCCTTCAAATGCCTGCAACAGCCAGGGCTGGGGCAGGCTGAGGCCAGAGGCGGGTAACTCAATCCGGATCTCCCATGAGGGGGCAGGGACACCACTGCCTCAGCCACCAGCCGCTGCCTCCCGGGATGCACATTAGCAAGAAGCTGGGGTGAGAGCGGAGCTGGGGCTCAGAGCCAAGCACCGATGTGGCGGGCAGGCACCCTAAGTGGCTGCCTCCGTGAAGGCCTCTCCTGTCTGCCTGGGAATATTTGGTGGTGTGGCTGCAACAGTTTATCCGTTATTAGTCATTTCCTGTTTAGCTATTTTAAATAGTGCCGCGATTAACATCTTCGTGCCCAACTTTGAGTCTCTGATTTCTGACTTGAGCTATAGACCTACACATGGAAGAGCTGCCATTTTCCTACTCACACTGCTTGACATCTACCGAAAGCGTCTGAAGCTGCCCCTCGCCTTGCTTACCTCGCTTGCCGCAGCCACACACAGGCGTGGAGGGAAGAAACCCTTTCCCATCATCCCTGCTAACCGCTGACCGCTCAGAATGGGAGACCCAGCAGGTGGAGGGTCGCATGGACGTGAAGAACCCACTGGGGGCTGCAGGGAGTTGGAGAGGCCCGAGTTAGCCAAGCGCTCACCACAGCCAAGTGAGAGTGGGAAGTCTGATCCCATTAGGGTGTGGGGGAAGGAGAAAGGGAAGGGGGGGGGCTGAGGGCCTCTCACCTGTCTCAAGAATCCCGAGCTGGGGGGTGGGGGTGGGAAGTGGCTTCAGATCCACACCAGCCATCGGCACTACTGGGGGCACACTGTTTCTCTCTCTCTTTTTTATGTTTTTTCAAGATTTATTATTTATTTGAAACAGAGCTACAGAGAGAGAGGGACATACAGAGATCTTCCATCTGCTGGTTCACTCCCCAAACAGCTGCAATGGCCAGGGCTGTGTCGGGCCAACGCCAGGAACCAGCAGCTTCTTCCAGGTCTCCCACATGGGTACAGGGGCCCAAGCAGTTGGCCTCCACAGCTTTCCCAGGCACATTAGCAGGGAGCTGGATCAGAAGCGGAGCAGCCAGGACTCGAATGGGCGCCCGTATGGGGTGCAGGCGTCACAGGCAGAGGCTTTAGCCGCTACACCGCACTGCTGGCCCCACACTGTTTTCCTAAGCAGCGAGACAACCTGGACAGAAATTCTCTGGCACTCTGAGGAGCTCCCTCCACTCCCTTCCCTTTGCTTCTTCCTGGTCCCTGGCTAGTGAGCCCTCACCCAGGCTGATCTGGGCCACCCGCCCCCTCTTCCCGTGCCCTTGAGAAGGAAGGCGCCCAGCAGAGCACATCCCCTGCAGCGTCAGGCCTGCCCGGGGTGCGGAAGCCCCCTGCCTCCTTTCCAGCCCCGACAGCCCCGGGAGCCCTCGTGTTCAGACGGCTGAGACGGGCTGTGAGGGGTAGGCTGGGGACTGGGGGCCCACCTGAGCTATTTTTTAAAGGTATTGATGAAATGCTCCAGACAAAAACACACAGCAGGTCTTCAGGCCTTTCCCTTCATTCCAAAACTCTGGAAGCGGTGTGGAGGGAGATGAGAGGCCCTCCGAGCCATCCCGGATGACCGTGAAGTCTCCAGCTACATGTGGGCTGTGTAAACTTGGCTCCAAGGGGTGACCCTCAGTGCTTCCCTGTGCTCTGAACTGTCCCCTCGGAGTTCTTCCAGTTAACCCTGGCGCCTCCACATTGCTCTCTGGTGTCACAGCAAATAGCAAAGAAGGGAGATCCAGGCATGGCTAAGATTTAGCCCCACATACAAGTCCTCTCCAAGGTCACAGAATCTACTTGGAACGTAACATCCACTCTGTAGTCAGGCAAAGAGATCCCAGGTGAGATCTCCCGGGAGCAGGGAGGAGAGCCTGTGCCCTCCCTCCCTTCCTCTTCCGCAGCTGCAGCATTGAACGCCCTGCCTGGCCACAGACCTTGACTCTGGTTTGCAGAGGCCAGAATTCCCCTCTTATCCTTAGACAAAGAGTTAAATCTCTTGAGAGAGAAGGCTGGGCGGGCAGAGGTGAGTCACCTGACACCCCGGGGTGACATACCTGTCTGCTGCCCCCACAGACATTCCTGCCTGCTGACTCGGTGGGGAGGTGGGGTTAAGGGGGTTCTCTCTCGGGGGAGAGAGAGACAGGGACCCTGCAGGAACCTGCCTTCCCACCCCACACGTGGCAGGGGTGGGGATGGGGCGGCCTCTGAAGAGGATGAATAAAGGGAAAAGAATGGGTCCAGGTTAAGGAAGCCAAACTTGGGGAGTGAGCTGAGACTTCGGTCCACTTCACCATCTCTCATTTAATTCAGTTCCTTGCGGCCGCTCTCTCAATGCCAAGACAGGAGCAGGGTAGTATAGCATAATGTTCTTTTCTAACCTATTTTGAAACCGCAGTAGACAAAGCAGACATCTGCGTGGCTGTTTTAGCCGAAAAGTGTGTGAAGACAGAAAACTCTGATCACGGGGCCCCTACCCCTTGGCAGGTTCTGGGGAAGCCTCTGAACAAAGTTTGAAATAGCTGCTACGGTTCCAAAGTCCTGGGCCTCGCAGTCAGCCCTGGTTCCAGGCCCCCGTAGGTAAGCCGTGTGGAACCTTGGCTGTTAGCTTGTTTTGCTGCTCTGAGCTGCAGTCTCTTCATATGCGAAAGAAAAAGCATACATGCCGTGGGATGGAACTGCCTGGCGCCCACCCGGCTTGCCAGCCACTGTGACTGTGGAGAAGCAGGAGTAGCGCGGGCATCTGAGACCAGGGGGATCTCCTGGAAAGGCCCTGCGCGGTCTGGGCGTTGGACAAGCCTAGGTGGGGGGTGGGGGGGTGGTCGCGGAGGAGGGGAGAGGCACCTTGTTTTCCTGGAAGCAGCCAGAGTGGCCGGCCTGACCCCAGTGCCGTGGCCCCTCCTGGGTGCCTGGTGGCTCTGAGAAGGCAGTGTTGTGCTCCATCACCTGCTCGTGGGGCTGCGGTGCCAGCTTGGACGCGGCTCTCTGACTTGGCTGCTCTGAGGAAAGTAGATACCTTTAGGTTGTAGACACCTTTAGGGGATTTTAGGTTAGCAATTTTCCATGTAGAAAGGCCTGGGCTGAGGTTTCTTGAATCTTTGTGGGCTTGATCTCTGTCTAGACAGCCACGTCTGAGGACCAGCTATATGGCCATTCCCGTGATAAAGGATCTGGCACTAACCTGGCTTCCAGGCATTGGGGAGGCTGGTTTTATACCCAGGTCAGCATCATTGTACACACAAGCCTTGCTGCTATCATTATGGGAAGAAAGGAAGAAAATAGGACAGAGTTACTGGTCTTAGGGAACTCTCTGAGGAGACAGAACAAACTAGGACACAGCTGAGACTCCATCGAGTGAATCAAGCAGATCGGGAGTCGTAACCGAATACATGTACCCACCGAAGCCAGGAGCTGGGGAAGCAGTAGCAGCCTCACCCATGGGTTCAGGGAGATGGCAGTCACATTCTGACCTGAACATGGATTCTGAAATTTGGAAAAGGTCAAAAGAGCACGGCCTAATGGACGTGGTGGTGGACAGTGGGTAGAATGGCCGCCATGAAATTTCCCGTGGAACCTGGCGTTCTTACTTGCTGCCTTCTGGGACAGTTTTTCCCAATTGAGATATAATTTACATATCATTAAAGTCACCCTTCTTTTGGGTTTTAATATATTCACAAAATTGTTCAGCTATCAGTTCTACTTAAATGTAGAAAATGTCATCAAGCCTCCAAATAGCCAGACCTGGACCAGGCAGATGCCTGGAGCCAGGAACTCCATCGCAGGACCCCAAGAACTTGGACCGTCATCTGTGACCTTCTGGAAGCATCAGCAGGAAGGTGGATAGGAAGTGGAGGTGAGGCTGAATCCAGGCACTCTGCTCGGGGTGCTGGTCTGCAGTGCAGTCCAGTGCAGCAGATTAACCCACTGTGCCACCATGCCTAACTGCCCTCCCCTCAAAAAGAAGTTTGTAAATGTCAAATCTGGGCCAGGAAAAGATGGCAAGAAATGCTGAGTTGTTGTTTTTTTTTTTTTTTTTTAATATGTCATGAACAAAATGATCTGCAACCATAATGATCAGAAGCTGGTGCCCAAACCAGCTCACACCCAGTGATAAACACCTGATCGGACGATCTAGTCCATAGCATTCGCTTTGGAAATCCCTTCAGCACCAACTCCAGCTTAGAGTAGCTTCTGTCTTCCCATACAGGGCAGCCACGCGTAGTCTGGAGCCCACAGACACGAGTCAAGAGATACAGATAACAAAGAAAGAGTTCCTTTCCCAGGACCTACCCTGTTAAGAGAAAGTCACCAGACCTGTCTAGTGAAAGAAACCAGGTCACCTCCAGAGCGGAGGGAGTCACTTGCCCTGGCCCGGAGTTTCTGCCTGGGTTGGAACCTTGAAGCCAGACACACCTCCAGGAAAGGAAGGGAGAGGAGCAGGCACCCAGAGGCATCAGGGCGTCTCCGCAAGCTTCCCCTGCAGAAGTAGCTGTGACAAGAGCCTTTCGGATGGAGTCCCACGGGTGCAGCCAGACTTAAGACTGGGGAACCTGCGGAGTCTGGCCCGCGGTCCCTTAATGTCACCAGGAGGCGGAGCGGCCCCTGCTGTCAGGTGGCCCAGCCTGCAGTGGAGCCTGGCTTGTTCTGCTTAGTGTGCAGCAATGCTGGTTGAGTCCTAGACTTGTCGATGCCAGGATTAATAAATAGCTGAAATGTGTTGAACAGGAACTACTTCAGGTGCACTTCTTTTCTCAAGCTTCATGGCAACTCTAAGATGGTACTGTTGTGTTTTTTTTTTTTTTTTTAAGATTAATTTATTTGAAAGAGTTACAGAGAGAGGGAGACACACACACACACACACACACACACACACACACACGGTGGGGGGGGGGGGAGCGAGCGAGCTTCCATTCGCTGGTTCACTCCAATGGCCACAATCAATGGCTGGAGCTGGGCCAGGCCTAAGCCAGGAGCTTCGTCCTGATCTCCCACATGGGTGCAGGGAACCAAGAACTTGGGCTATCTTCTGCTGTTTTCCCAGGCCACAGCAGAGAGCGGAACTGGAAGTGGAGCAGGCAGGACTCCAACCCGAGTCCACGTGGATGCCGGCACTGCGGGCGGAGGCCTAACCTGCTGTCAGTGCCTGGCCGGAAGGTACTGTTTTTTGAGTGTTCCCTTGAAAAGGCAAGCAAGGCCGGCTGGGAGTCGATCCCAGTCGTCAGAGCGCCTTTTGGTCAGGCCCCTTATGACACAAAAGGGAAACTGAGGCCCAGGGCTTTTCCAAGGTGGCAGTCCTTGACACTCCAAGCCCCCTCAGACCAGGCTGCCTCCACTCTGAAGTGCGGTGGGGCATCTTGCGGGCTTTCTCCCAGCCGCGCCTGCCGGCCCGCCCCGTCCGACCCAGCCCGGCCCGGCCCGGCCCAGCCCGGCCCAGCCCAGGCACCGCCTGGTGAACGCATGACTCAAAGGGCGGGGGCTGCATTTTGCGCACGGCCCGCCCCGTCCCGCCGCCTTGAGGAAGCCGCCTCCCGGGTCGGGCGGGTGGCAACTTGTCTGAGCGAAACCTGGAAAGCGCCGCCCCCTCGGCGCCCGGCGGGTGGTGGGGACGCCGCTCGGTCAGTCTGCGAGCAGCCGCGCCGGGGGGCGGGGCGCTGGCTCCACTGCTCACTCCCTCATTGGGCCATTGCGCCCCGAGGGCGGTACCCCGTGAAACTCTCTCCTGTGATTGGGCTGTGTCGGCCTCCGGCCCCGCCTCCAGGGGTGCCGGCTGGCGGAGCGCGGCAGCCTCCGGTCCCGGCGTGTTGCTTCCTGCCGGGAGTGGAGGCTGTGGGTCCAGCGAGCCAGGCACCCCGAGGCCGTTCCCACCCAGCGGGTGCCTCCTCCGCATCCCCGAGCGCTGCTGGGGGCGGGGGGCCGTTCTCTTTTCCTCAGGTCTGGGCATCTAATGGAGGCGCCGTGCCTCTGCCCCAGGTCGTGCACCCTTCACTCGCTCTCGAGGGTGGGGTGCTCCGTGCCGCTCGCTCCGCGCAGCACCCCGCGGCCTTACCTCACACCTGAGGCACCCGCTCCCCTAGCCCGAGGGAGGCGCCTCAGTGCTGCCTCTGCTCTCCGCCCCTCCCGGGACCAGACCAGTGTGGGGCCACCCGGAGCGGGGAGAGGCCCCCGCCTCGAACCTGGCTGCGCCCCCGCAAGGTGTCTCGCCCGCGGGCCGTTGGGCCAGCCGCGGGGGAAATCGGGGCCTGTGCAAAGCCCACTCCCACCCCTCTCCCAGCCCAGCGCCAATAACTGGAGAAGACCGGAGGACTGAGTGTCACGGGGAGTTTATTGAGCCGAGCCGGTCACCGCCGGCAGACAGACGCTTTCCCTCTCGCTCACTCACAGTCACACGCGCACCCCAGCTCCCGCCTCTGCCGCCCGGCGCCGCGCTCAGCCGCAGGGCGAGCAGCCGGAGGCAGCAGGGGCAGGAGGGAGGCGAGGCGGGAGGGGAAGGGGTGCGGAGAGCAGGGTGGGGGGGCGGCCAGGGGCTGGGAGCGCCCCGCGGCTTGCAGGGAGAGCGAGACCCCCGGGCGGCCTCGGCTCAGCGGCTCCCTTCTCCAAGGAGCCTTTGGGAGCCGGGGCGGCGCAGCGAGGGGGAGAAGGGGGGCGCCTCCCACCCCGTAGTAGTCCTCTCCGCGGGGCGTCGGGGACCGGAGGGGGCAGGGCGGCGGCGGGCGGCTCAGCTCTGCGGCTCCTCGGGAGCCTCCCCGCCCTCTTCGCCGGCGTTGTCGGCTGTCCAGAGCGTCAGGTTGTCTCGCAGCAGCTGCATGATGAGGGTGCTGTCCTTGTAGGAGTCCTCGCTGAGGGTGTGCAGGTCGGCCATGGCCTCGTCGAAAGTGGTCTTGGCCAGCGTGATGGCCTCCTCGGGGCTGTTGGCGATCTCGTAGTGGAAGACAGAAAAGTTTAGGGCCAGGCCCAGGCGGATGGGGTTGGTGGGCGGCATCTCCTTCTTGCTGATGTCCATGGCCTCCTGGTAGGCGGAGCGGGCCGAGTCGATGATGCGCTTCTTGTCGTCGCCGGTGGCCACCTCGGCCAGGTAGCGGTAGTAGTCGCCCTTCATCTTGAGGTAGAAGACGCGGCTCTCGGCCTCGCCTGCCTCCTTGATGAGGTGGGAGTCCAGCAGCCCCAGCACGGCGTCGCACACGCCGCGGAGCTCCTTCTCCACCCTCTCCCGGTACTCGCGCACCTCCGGGCCCTTCTCCTCCGAGCCCTCCTCCGTGCTCTTCTGCTCGATGCTGGACAGGACCCTCCAGGCCGCCCTCTGGCCGCCCACCACGTTCTTGTAGGCCACCGAGAGCAGGTTTCGCTCTTCACAGGAGAGCTCCTCGCCCTTCTCCACCGCGCCCTTCATGAAGGCCGCCATGTCCTCGTAGCGCTCAGCCTGCTCGGCCAGCTTGGCCTTCTGGATCAGACTGGCTCTCTCCATGGCTCTGGGGACAGAGAGACGGGCGGCGGGCGAGCTGGCTGCCTGGGGACCAAGGCTGGACTCTGTGCCTCTGCTGCTCTCAACCTGCCTTTTGGCTGGGTGGCTTGGCCTAGGCAAGGGTGGGGAGGGGCGGGGGGGCGGGACTGGGGCCCAGGACCTGCCTCCCTGTCTTCTCCCCACACCCTTTCCGGCTCTTCCTTAAAGGTAAAAGGGCCGGGATGTGGGGGTGAGTCATTGGAACAGTCAGCAGGAGAAATCTGGGCGTGGGCCCCACCTGTGCGGGCACCTTGCTGGGCTCCAGGCTGCCCCCTCCTGTCCAGCACCCGCGTTAGGAAGCTGCCAGGAGGTAAGGACGGCTTCAGCCACCTGGCAGCTTCGGCTTTGGCATAGCCTGTGGGCTCAGGTGGGTGCAGGAAGATGGGGCTGCTAATCCGGCCAGGTGCACTGCCCCCCCCCTTCAGGCGAGGTAACCCAAGCGCTTCCCTAGTCCTCACTGGGTGCAGTCCCCACCGTGACTGTGAGGTGTGCAGCCCTGACGTGGTGTGGGAGCCTCTTCACTCTCAGGCTGTGAGACTTGCTCAGGGCCACACAGCTGCCAAGTCCCTGCAGCTCTCTCCTGCACCCAGCTTCCTTGGGCTTTTCTCCTATGGGCTCTGCATGCCAGGTCACCTGCCCCCTCTGACCGGGGAGCTCCAGACTTTTAGAAGTGAGGCCAGGCTTCTTCCTGAGTCTACTGGGAGACAATTCCAGCCCCAGGGCCTCAGCCATGCAGGGTCCCCTCCGAGCTCCCAAATGCTCCCAGAAGGGTGGCAGCTATCAGGGTGCTACTTAACGAAGTGTTTAACGAGCGGCCTCCGAGGCTCCAGCCGGGCCTGCGTAATTAGTCACCCAGTAGGTTCGTCGGACACCTTCCCCTTCACAGCACAATTTTCCCTTTCAAGTCGGTGGCCTGTTGCCACTTGTTGGAGGACTTCCCATGAGGCTCTCCAGGCCGGGTCAGCTGCCCCCTCCACGCCGCCTGCCATCACAGAGCAGCAGGGCTCACGAAGGGTCCCACTCTCCTTCCTGACTCAGCTTGTCCTCTGTCAGAGGCTGGGAAGCAGGCCACCTGGGTGCTCAGTCCAGTTTGGTCCCCCAGGGGGGACGCAGGCAACCCCGGGGAGAGACGGGGCCGAGGAGAAGGAGGTGGCGCTGACACACACTGTTTTATGGGGCAGCCGTGGAAGCTGAGTGACGCCTCCCCCCAGCCTGTCTCCCAGAAGTTTCCATGTCCCTTGCACTTGACCACGGCCCCAGCTCTGACCACAGCAGAGGTGTCGGAGCTGGAGACCTCCGTCGCCAACCTCTGTCCCTGCGTGTGGGGACCCAGTCCTCGAGTTTCACGTTGGCACTGAGCCAAGGAGGGTGGGTTCCTGTTTAGCTGCCCTGCCCCTAGCCAAAGCTTAGCTGGGACTCAGGGGTGCGGCTCCCGTCTGGGATTCAGCCAGCCTAATCCTTCAGCTGGGACCGTTTCACAGGCCTGTGTCTGGGCCGGTTCTCAGTGTCTGAACATTCACCTGCCTCCTGGAGAGTGGCCTGGGCCAGAACCCTGAGGATCCAGGACGACATCTGGCTCTCTGCCACAAGGGACAAGTTTGGGCCAGGCCTCCCAAGGCAGCAGACAGGCTGTTGGCCCTGACATCCTGACAGCTCTGCTCAAATCGGAGCGCTGACGCAGAAGACGAAGGAAAGGAACTAGGCTCGAGTACCAGTTTAGCCAGAGTATCTGCTAGTGAAACTTCGTGGTTTTTTTCCTCTTCACCTTTATTCTCTGTTATTCTTGCTGCATGTGTATTATTTTGCTCTGAAAGACAGAGCGGCCTTGCATCTTTGGGATCAGACTGTGTGAGTCTGTGGTGCTGTCAGCCGGTGGCTGACCCTCTGAGCCTCAGCTCCTGGCGGTGTAAGGTGAGGCTTTTGTGAGCATTAAATGAGTTCGTGGGAATCTCTTGCTAGAGTGGATGGTGACTACTGCTACGTGAAGAAATCCAGCCAACTCTGTAGACATATACACACAGAGCTGGGTGCTGGCAGTGAGGAAGGGCCCCAGACCGGGCCCTGCCCACAGGGGAGAGGGGCAGAGTTGCCCAGGCTTCCCTCTCCAGGGGATGAACTGTCAGGTGCACTCAGCTCTGCCGCCCCCTCTCCACCGAGCAGGCTCTGGGCCCTCAGGGAGCTTCCCTCGCACTAGTCAGCCAGCCAGGGCTTCCCTGGGCTTCCCCAAGTCCGGGGGGGTTGGGGGTACCTGGAAGGCAGAGCCCAGCAGGCGTGGGAGTTTCGGAGCTTCTTCTGAATGCAAGGAGGGGCCTGGTTTAGACCACGTGCCGTGACTGCCTCAGCTCAGCCCTGAGCGAGGCAGAGGGGGGCCCTCACTCTTCCTCCCGCTGGGCTGCAGGTCAGGGATGAATCCGGGAGCCAGGCAGCCGACACCTCCTGCCCGCTCTGGCCTGTTGCTCCTGACTCAGTTCCTGTCTCAGGTTCCTCCCTTTGCCTCCAGGCCTCCATTTCCCAAGCCCAGGAGCCCGGGCGGGCAGGAGGCAGCAGGCCCTAGCAGGGCTCAGAGTTCCACCGTCAGCTCCCTGAGTCAGCAGGGCAGCAGCTGGGGCTGCGGCCCAAAGGGGCTTTCCTCATGCTGCCTGCTGCCTCCGCACACTCTGTACAGGATCTGCCCCCCTGCCCCCAGCGGGCTCAAGGTCCCTGCACCCACAGCAGGCAGCCCCTTCAGCGGTGGTGACAGCTTTGAAGGACTGTGTTGCGGAAAAGGCAGCACCCGGCTGCTGTCTATCCCCACTGAGAAGAGGGCAGGGCCAGGCGGCTGGTGTAGGGGTCAGAGGCCACTTGGGGCGCCCTCGTCTCACAGCAGTGTCCCCGGGTTTGCGTCTTGGATCCCCTGACAAGCCAGCTCCTTACTAATGTGCACGTTGGGAGGCAGCAGTGAAGACACAGGGCTCGGGCTCTGGTCACCATGTGGGCAACCCGGAGTGAGTTCTGGGCTCCCGGCTTCAGCCTGGCCCAGCCCCAGTCGTTGGGGCCATTTGGGAAGTGAACCAACAGATGGAAGATCTCTCTCTTCCTCCCTCTCTGCCTTTCAAGTAAACTTAAAGAGGAAGGAGGGGAGGGGAGGAAGGAAGAGAAAGAATAGAGGACAGGCCTCTGATTACAACAGGAGAGATTGGTTAGACTCCAGAGAGAACTTCCTAGGGAGTTTTTCAGTCTTGCAACAAAAATTAAACCGGTGAGCAGAGGCAGCTGTAGCTCCTTCTCCCCCTCATTAGCTGTGAATGTAGCTGCCTGTGAGAAGAGCATGACATGTCTTTTAAGTGATTCAGCTGTTTTGAGTCTTTCTCTTCTCAAGTCACTGCTGTTCAGAGTATCCCACATCTGCTAAACCAGTCCAGTGTGAGATAGCTTAGAGTTTATGGAGAGAATGGAGTGAGGTCAGAGTGTGGGACCACATCCCAGCTCTGCCGTAGGCCTCGGGCAGGCCCCTTCCTGCCTCTGGGGGCTGCCCCCATGATCTCAGCCCCTGTGAGCCATGGCCGTCTCTCATGTCGGGGTTTCTCAGAGACCCCATCTGTTCACTCCGGGGTAGTGCAGACGAGTCAGGTACTGGGGAAGAGCTTCGGGTTCCGATCCTGCCTGCTGGGTACCTGGAACAGTCCCTGTACCTCCCAAGCCTCAGTCCTTTTCTTCATGTGTCAAAAGGTCATTACCTTTCTTACAGGTCAAGACACTTGGCAAGCCCTTGCTAAATGCCCGTGGTCATTATGTTTTTTATCTTTTGGTACAGCGTGTGCGCGTGCACTTGTGTCTCTACGTGGGGGGACAGCCTCCGGGGAGTGAGAAGGTTGCATGAGGGGGATACCCTGGTTCAGGGTGTGACAGTCCTTGACTGGAGTTAAAACAGGGACCAGCTAAGGCCTAGAGGTCTCTGGAATTGAGACCGAGTGTTCCAGAGGAGTAGAGGTACCTCTGGCCCCTTCTAGGTCCCTTCTGGCTTTTTTGTGTCTCTTAAAAATCTCCAGATCGGTAGCCGGCACTGTGGTGTAGCGGGTAGAGCGGTGGCCTGCAGTGCCAACATCCCATATGGGCGCCTGTTGGAGTCCCAGCTGCTCTGCTTCCAATCTAGTTCTCTGCTATGGCCTGGGAAAGCAGTGGAAGATGGCCCAAGTGTTTGGGCCCCTGCACCCATGTGGGAGACCCGGAGGAAGCTCCTGGCTCCTGGCTTCGGATTGGCCCAGCTCTGGCCATTGCAGCTATTTGGGGGGTGAACCAGTGGATGGAAGACCGACCTCTCTCTCTCTCTCTGCCTCTCTGTAACTCTTTCAAATAAATAAATCTTAAAAAAAAAAAAATAATAATAAAACTCCAGAGCCGTACTGAGGAGTGGGCACACAGCTGGGAGTGAGGATAAGCTAGACGTTCTCCTGAACACAGGGCCCACCCCCAACCCCAGAGTAAAGGTGGCACCAGACAGCAAGGCTATGGCAAGAAGAGGGGAATCTTTATTTGGTTATAAAAGGTACAGGACAGCAGATGAGCGGCCCCCGCCCTGGGCTCAGTGGGTTTTCCCAGGCCAGGCCCAGCTTCCTTTAGTTCCTCTGAAGAACTTGGGGCTGTGCGGAGTGAGCTCAGCCCCTCAGTGCCTGGAGGGGGCATCCTGCCTACTCCGGGGGCGCGGGCGTGGGAACAGCGTCAAGCCCTTCGTGCTTACAAGTCACCCAACTTGTTCAGCCGCGTCGGCAACCACCACCACCCCAGCCGGCTCCTGAAGAAACCTGCTCGGCTTGACCGCGGCTGGGCCTGCTCTGGGGGAGGGGGCAGGAAGGCCAGATTCCTCGAGGCCCAACACCTCGCCACGCTGGGGAAGGGGCGGTGAGGCAGAGGAGGGCGGGGGTCTCGGCGTCGTGTGGCACTACTGTGCTGCCCCTGCCTTATGGCTTTCCACACTCCACCGGCATGGAGGGGGCGCAGGGGCAGAGGCCAGCCCATCCCCCTGGGCGGGGGCCCTCAAGGGCACACGTGTGGGGCAGGCTGGGGGCAGACCCTGTAGGCACAGATGGTGGCAGACGGGCCACAGGTTAGGCAGGTGGAGGTGCCGGGTGCCTGTCTCCTCCCAGGCCGCTCCTGGAGAGGCAGAGAGCAGCGGTCCTCAGGAGGTCCTTAAGCCCTCGCACACACTGGACATCCCCGGCAGGACAGCAGAGAAGGAGAAGAGAGAGGGTTAGCGGGGCCGGGAGGGGAGAGGCGGTCTGCAGGGCCCCGCAGCGGTGGGGACAGAGGGTGCCACAGCACCGGCCACTCCCCCAGAGAACCAAGGCTCGGGCAGCAGGCAACGAAGCGGGAGAGAAGACGGGCAGGTGAAAGCTGGGCAGGGACAGAAAGCCAGGGCGCACGTGTTAGTGACCGAGGGGCCCTGCACCAGGACACCACCGGGACAGGCCCACGCCCCGCGCAGCCTTCCAGCGGGAGAGCTGCTCTGTGCAAAGCTACCTCCTCAGTCCAGAGCGGGCAAGGCTCTCGGCCGTGCTCCCCGCGCCGGGGTCTTCTGCCCAGCGTGGAGACCTGGGGCCCTACCACCATCAGCACACACGCTACACCACACACCAGACGGATGGATGGGCTCGGTGAGGTGGCGAGGCATGCGATGAGATGAGATGGTGTGTGAGGGGAGCGGGCAGTGCTGGCTGCCAGGGGAGATCCGGTCTTACCAGCTAACCCTCTGCAAAGAGGCCTGTTAGCGCCCCTCAGGCTGTGCAGGAGATGGCAAAATCCTGACAGGTGTCCTCCTGGGGGAGATACCAGAGAGGCGGGCCAGTGTTATGAGTTGTCTGGCCAGGCCCTGCTGCCCGGGGAGGCTGCGGCTCTCCAACAGGAATCTAAGGTCTCACATGCGCTCTGGGCTGGTGGTCACTGGGGTGAGAGCGGAGAGGCTGCGGGGGAGGACGCGGCGTCTCCGAGCCTCAGGGGGCAGGGGACGGTGGAGGCTGGCCTCTGGTCACACCTCCGGGTCACAGCCCCCTGCTCTGCCTGCCTGAAGCGCACGGCTCCAGCCTGCTGCCTCCTCTGTCTCCCCACATCTGAAAGAACCAGGGCTGCCAGCTGGGCCTCAGCAAAGGAAAAGCAAACAAAAACCAAACCAAAGCAAATCAACTCTTAAGAACCAAAGTTTTATTACAAGCAGGAACAAAGGATACTGACTTAAAGAAGAGGCATGTGGGAGCCCCTCCCCTCTAGCTGGCTCCCTCCCTGTGCCCAGGGCCCTGAGGCTGGGCGAGGCTACTTTTCCCAGAGGGGACCCTCTGTGGCTGCCACTTCGCAGCTGTTTGTGACCCAGAAGGGCAAGACCCAGGACCTCCTATGTCCCTCTCCAAGGCCTCGGCCCACCTGGAGGGCGATGGGAGGGGCCAGAGGGACAATTCTCTGCCTACTTGATGGGAAACTGCAGCTCCCACCACAGGGACACCCTCTTTCTGGCGCAGACCTGGGCCCCCCTCCAGGTGCCTCTAGGCCCACCCTGCTCCTCCACTCCTCTTCTTCGAGTGGAGGCTCCCAGGTGGCACATCCTGTCCTCTGGTCTCTGGCACTGGGTCCAGGACTCAGCGCTCTGAGGAGGGCGTGTGGCTTAGAGGACAGCAGCTACCCCGCACAGCCATCACCCCCCACCCCTGTGGCCTTGGCCTGTCTGGGCAGATCCCAACTTGGGGCTGGGGTAGGGGGCAGCCAAGTCCCCAGTCACTGGTTGTCTGAAGTCCTTGGAGAAAGGAAAGGTAGGAGATGGGGGATGAGCCCCAGGAGAGCCCAGGGGTCTCTTACGACCAGTACATTTGTTCCCTGTCCCCATTGGCTCAGGCTGCTCATGACAACCTGGAGATGGGTGAGGGGCAGCCCAGGGAATATGGGAGCCACATTCGTATAAGGGCACACGTGAACACACACACACACGCACGCACACGCACACACACACGCACGCTCCCTCTCTCACAGCCAGAAGGTCTCTTGTAATAAGTTATGACAACCAACCAGCCCTCTGACAAGCCTTCGCCTGGCACTGGGGATAGCAACGTAAGCTGACTTTTTTTTCTCCCTTTTAAAAAATGCTATGTAGAAAAAAGGTCTATAAAATTGTGCAAAATACCCAGCATTAGTAAACCCACTTCAAGTATTGCCAGCAGGAATATAATCTGCCCAGCCCCAGCCCTGGCTTGGGTGAGAAGAGGGGTGGGGTGGGGGTGGGGCTGGGACCCCTTAGCGAGTCCCCATGGATGGGAGAGCTCCTACAGGGGCGGAAGCTCTGGCTGCCTCCCAGCCTCCCCCAACCCTGCCCTATCCTACCGGCCAGCTCCAAACAGAGAAAAACAAAAACAAAAAGCCCATCAGAAGAAACAATTACAACCCCCAAGAGAGTGCAGGGGCCCCCAGCCACAGCAGCGCCCGGGGCCTTCCTGTCCACGGCCACCCAGAGCTGACTGCCTGCAGTCCTGCAGCACCCTGAGAGCCTGGCGCAGCGTGGCCCAGGCAGTGCCCCCCACTGGGAGGCCTCACGCTCAGCTCACACCCTCACTCACACAAGGCTCGCCCTGGTACGAGCAGACACTTGGCATGGTCCCCTTGGTGGCCTCCAGAGGCCTCTCCTGTCATTCCTGCCACGGAGCAGCTCGGGGGGACCTCGAGCCCTGGGCTTAGGGAGCAGAGGGTGCAGCCACGGCAGTGTGAGGAAAGCCACGCAGAGTGGGAAATAAATACGAAAAGACTTGAGTCTTTGGCAGCTCTGCTCCCCTCGGCTGGGATGGGGAGGGTCCCGGCAGGTGTGGAGGGCGCGGGTGAGTGCAGAGGGGTGGACAGGCCAGCAGGTGGCAATACTGAGCCCCTCTCAGGGGTGGCCTCCTACCATGCGGGCATCAGGCTTGGCTCCACAGGCCGGCTCGTCGCTTCTGATGGGCGAGGGCAACACGGTGTCCGGCTGCACAAATCCCCTCCGGTCAATCAGGCTTCCAAAACACAAAGGGGCAGGCACCGTGAGCAAGGCCAGGGGCCCCAGGCTGGAAGGCAGAGTGGGCCTCCCAGCCACGGAGACCCAGCCCTAGAAAGGCTAAGGGCAGGGGAGCTGCTCTCCACCTGGGGGCTCAAGACCCTCCCCTTTTGGAAGGCCTCTCTCTGCCCTCTGGGCAGCTGGCTTTTGGCCACGGAATTTACTCACTGTCAGTTCCAACTGGCCCACCTGTCTGCCAGGGAGCCGGGCTGCAGGTGGGGGGCATAATGAGGTGCCCACTGCCCCTCCCCCCAGGGTGGGTGACAGGAATACTGGGCTGGGGGAAGGGAAGAAAGGGGGCGGGAAGGACACGGGTGTGGGCAAGTTTTGCCCCAGCAGTGTCCCCAGCAACCAAATCCTGTTCTGGAGCTCTGGCGCCCCCTGGTGTTGGGAGACTCCCCCAGCCCCTAGGGCTCCTTTCTGCCCAGAGGGGGAAGACCCCACCCAGTGCAGGAATGGCTATCCCTGGGGAGTGGGATTATGTAACGCTGAATACTCTTCTCTCTATAGGGATCCCCCAACCTCTGAGGTGTGGACTCAGGCCCAGCGCCAGGCCCTGCTGCTTACCTGGGAGGCAGGGGGCCGCAGAGCACAGCACAGCAGTTGGTGACGATACTTTTATGGCTGTAGGGGTTGACAGAGGCCTCACCGCCCCTCTTGCTGGACCACGAGCCTTTGATCTGCAAGCAGGAAGGAGGCCTGGGTCAGGTGCCCCCTTTGAAAGCTTCACTTTTCCAGGAGGGAGGGAGAAGCCGAGAGCCTCTAAAGTGGTTCTGGTTAGATCACCGGAGGGACGGGTCTCTAACACAGGCCTGAGGATGTGCCGGGGTGGGCAGCAGCAGTTAGGAGGCCTCAACCAGGGCAGAAGACAGAGCCAAAGAGAAGTCTCTGGAGGACACCTTTTTGGGTGACTCCACACAGGGCTCGGCTGACCGGGCTGAGAACCCTGGCCGTGCCCACTCAGGAGTAGCACCACCCTGAAAAGACCGCTTCCGCCAGGGCGGGTCCTCATCTCAAAGAGCAGAGACCCTCGTGCTCAGCTTTAGGTGCAGCCCTGCCCGCCTCCTGCTAGGTGATGTTGGCCACGGGAGGCCGCCAGCCAGAAGGTTCTACACTGACTTGACCACAACGGCCCTTTCCGCTTAAGCGCCGGGAAGACGCCGCTGAGTCAGCACCCAGGAAACCACTTGGGGAGATGCTGGCTGATGTCACTGCCACTCCCGTCCGTCACGCAGCACATCACGCCCGTCTCCTCCGCAGAGGCTGACATCGGAGTGCACCTGCCGTTGGCGGAGGGGTCTGATCTGACCAGATGCTCACCCAGATGCTCTCATTCGCTTCTTCAGTGTTTGGAGGGTGGGGAGGGGAGGCCAGGTGTGGCCCACGGCCGGGCACACACTGGTGGCAGACTGCCAGGCAGGCCCCGTGCAGCCCTCAGGAAGGACCCCCGAGCCCGTCACGGCTCTGCTGCCTGCGGGTGGGGTGTGGCGGAGCACGGCAGGACCGGGATTCTGGGCACCAACCCTGGCTCTGCCCCCTCCCAGCTGTCACCCCTGCTCCTCTTGCCTCAGGCTTGGCAAAAGGACCCAGAGAGATAACGGAACTGAGAGCGCTGTAAGCCGGGGTGTTGGCCACTTGAGGGGGTTCTAAAGGAAGCAACCTGGGCGCCTTGGGAGCCTGCGTCAGGTGGCCCAGGCCAGGCCCTGAGTGCCGGAGACGCCTGGAGGAGCCACGCCGCCACCTGCTTCTCCAGTGGCCCTACCCCCTCAGCCCTGCCCCCTCCTGAGCAGCCTGCCCAGGCCCGGGGGGCCGCTGCAGCCGCACTCACGTCTTCATTGGTCGTCAGGTTGGAGGCGACGAGGTACGTGTGAAACCCTGAGAGGCCCAGGATGGACCAGATGGAGAAGAAGCAGATCACCAACTCCAGCACGGTGGGGCGCAGTCAAGGACTGTCACGGAGGGGCGGAGCGCCGTTCCCCAGCGAGGGGTACCTTCCGGGACCTTCAGAAAGGATCACCTCCCGGATCCTCACCCCACCCCCACCCCAAGAGCAAGACCAGACCAGGGAGACGGAAGGCACAGGGCACTAAGGGTCCCACACGGCCTCGGGCACGGCGCAGTCTAGGGAGCTTGGCCCCGCAAGGGACGCGCTCTCCTCCAGGCCCCTGAAGATGGGAGGGCGCCTCCTGAGAGGGCTTGGCCAGCCCAGGTCCCGTAGGGTCAACCTAGTTTGGGTGGGGGCTGCGGCAGCTGGTACCGTGGACACTAGGTGGTAAATACGGCTCTACCCAGCTCCCTCCTGCTCCTGGGGTGGGTGCGGTGCCCGCCCTGCCCTGTGAGGGACCCTGGTCCCCTGGGCGGCTAGGAACCAACAAAGGATATCTTGCCGGCGTCGCCTTCAGAGTGGAGAGGAAGTTGCTTCGCTGAGAGCCTGGGGAGGAAGACGCCGGGAGGGACACGGCTCAGAGGGGCACAGGGAGGGACACGGCTCTGAGCCTGCAGGCCAGCCCCCCGCTCCCCGCTGCCCTCACCCCCAACTCACGCATCGTCAGGTGGGTGACCACGCAGGCGAAGATGAAGGCCGTGAGGAAGGAGAGGGAGAGAATGAACGCGTAGAAGAAGCGGTAGTTCCGTCTCCCCACGCAGTTGCCCACCCAGGGGCAGTGGTGGTCAAACCGTTCTGGAGGGGATGAGGGGAGGCGGTCAGTGTGCGCCAGGCCCGTGACCAGCACAGGTGTTTGGAGGCCCCACCCACAGCCAGGCCTCTCCTACCCCTCGCTCTGTCCACTCCACTGCCAGCCGACTCCCTCGGACACACCCTGCTTCCGGTCCTGCCTCACATATGCCTCCTGGCCTCTATTCCTGTGTCCCAGCTGCACAGCCACTTCTGTAAGCCTCCTCGGACAGGCTAGGTGGGGGTCCCTTGTTACCTGCCCCTCACTTCTCTTTTGCAGTGATGCGCATTGTGTGTGTGTGTTGACATGAGTATCTACAGGAACCGCAGTGGCCGATACCCTGGCTTGACTGTGCGCTCCAGGGAGGAGGGCTCCCGACCCACTGCATCCCCGGGGCTAGGCAGTATGTGGCCCACAGAAAGAACTGGCTGCCCGACCTACAACCCAGCCAACAGCCAATGAACCCCGACCCTAGCCCCAGGACTGGAGGCCCAGAGAGGGGCTGGGCCGCTATAGAGCTCACGGACAGCTGGCATCGAGGGCTGAGCTCACACCAGCACCATGTCCCCGGGGTGGGGGCACACCCAGGCTGGTGAGGAAAGTGGCTGTGAGAATGTGGGTCACAAGCCCGTTGCAGGCCTCGTGCCAAGGCTAGCACCTTGCAGGGAGTGGGTGGAATAGTCTCGGGGGTGAATGACACCCATTGAGTCACCCACTTCACTGCCTGCCTCATGGGTGTTCCCACCGCTCTCTGGCTCGGGGCCTGCTGAGCTGGCGCGGTGAGCTCACTGTGCACCATCACCGTGGCTCAGCTCACCTGGGCCCTCTCACACAGCCCTTCCCTTAGGACACTCTCCCTGGGGACCACCCAGGGGGGCCTCTGGAGAGCAGGGAAGGGGACAGTGCAGCAGTGTGGGTCAGGAGCCCAGCGTCCTGTTCCTGGACACCCTCTCCAGCCCAGCAGTCCCGGAGTCTTGTCCCTCCCATGCCCTGGGAACCCAGGAAGTCTCACAGAGGCGGCCTTCAGCCACTGGGTGACAAATCTTTCTGGCCCAAACACACCTGGAATGTTACCACCCCAGACTGTGGGGCCTGGGAACCTGGACCTACTTAGGACCAGGCTAAAGCCTGGAGAAGGGTTCACGGCCTGGCTGTGTCCACTGCGCTTGTCAGAGCTCGGGGAAGGAACCTGCCAACCCCGGGCTGAAGCCACAAGCCACTGGCAGCCCTCAAAGCTACCCAGGCAGGGCAAGGCTGGGAGACCCTGCCCACGCCAGCCAGGACTCGGTCTCTCGGGGACCCCTGCGCCCCTGCAGCCTCTGCTCACCCACGCAGTTGTCACAGACGCTGCAGTGGGAGGTCCGGGGTGGCCGGAACATCTTGCAGGTGAAGCAGTACTTCAGCTTCACCATCTGCCCGTTGATCATCACCTCCCGCGTCCGAGGGGGCGGCCGGTACGTGGAGCTGCCGGTGTTGTCTGAGGGTGGAGGTCAGAAAGACGGACGATGCCCAAGGCAGCCAGGCCAGGGGCCCTAGCAGGGGTGGTGGGGAGCTGCGGCTGCCTGGCAGGCCCGAGAAGCCTCCCAGGAACAAATGAACACCGGGGTAAACGGGCAGAGGCAGCAGCAGACTCTAAGAGCTGCTAGCACCGACAGAGACCTCCTGCGTGCCAGGTTCCGTGTCCCACCTGCTCACACACCTGCGGGCCTAATACAACCCCGATCAGGGCCCTCACAGAGGGAGACCCCAGGAGGGCTGGGAGGTTTATCTACATCTAAGCAGGCCCCAATCTAGGTTCCAGTTTACAGGAGGTTCGGGAGATGGAAGCAACCACGTCTGGAACGTGGGACATCTACAAGACCCGGCCTGATCTCTAACAGAAGCCAGCGTCACTGACGAGGACACAGGGGAGACCTCGGAGTCAGCAAATCCAATGCATGATCACATGATCCTGGAGTGGGCTTGTCTTGTACAAGTGCATTTACTTATTTACCTAACCTGAAAGGCAGAGAGAGAGGGAGAGAGGGAGAGAGGGAGAGAGGGGGAGAGGGGGAGAGGGAGAGAGGGAGAGAGGGGGAGAGGGGGAGGGAGAGGGAGGGGGAGGGGGAGGGGGAGGGAGAGAGGGAAGGAGAGAGAGAGGGAGAGAGGGAGGGAGAGAGGGATAGAGGGGTGAGGGGGAGGGAGAGGGAGGGGGAGGGGGAGGGAGAGAGGGAAGGAGGGAGAGAGGGAGGGAGGGAGGGAGAGAGGGATAGAGGGGAGGGAGAGAGGGAGAGAGAGAGGGGGAGGGGGGAGAGGGAGAGGGAGGGAGGGAGAGAGAGGGAAGGAGGGAGAGGGAGGGAGGGAGAGAGGGATAGAGGGGAAGGAGAGAGGGAGAGAGGGGGGAGGGGGGACAGCGAGGGAGGGAGAGAGAGGGAAGGAGGGAGGGAGAGAGATGGAGGGAGAGAGGGAGAGAGGGAGGGAGGTAGAGAGGGAGGGAGAGAGATGGAGGGAGAGAGGGAGGGAGGGAGAGAGAGAGGGAGAGAGGGAGGTTAGGGGAGGGAGGGGGAGAGAGGTCTCCAGATAGGGAGGGAGAGAGAGGGAAGGAGGGAGGGAGGGAGAGAGAGGGAGGGAGGGAGGGAGAGAGGTCTTTCACCCATTGGCTCGCTCCCTAAATGCCTGCAACAGCTGGGGCTCAAAAGTGGCAGCTCAAACAGCCTTAACACCTGTCCCAAAGTCTTGTCACTGGGGAAATCTGAATGTAGATTAAAAATTAGTGAACTATGTGGCGTAGAAGGTAAAGCTGCCGCCTGCAGTGCCAGCATCCCATATGGGTACCGGTTTGAGTCCCAGCTGCTCTGCTTCTGATCCAGCTCTCTGCTATGGCCTGTGGAAACAGTAGAGGATGGCTCAAGTCCTTGGGCCCCTGCACCCATGTGGGAGACCTGGAAGAAGCTCCAGGTTCCTGGCTTCAGATCGGCCCAATGCCAGCCCTTGCAGCCACTTGGAGAGTGAACCAGCAGATGGAAGATCGATCTCTCTCTCTCCATCCCTCCCTCCCTTTCTACATCCCTCCTTCTCTGCCTCTGCTTCTGTAACTCTGCCTTTTTAGTAAATAAATAAATAAATAAATAAATTTTTTAAAAAATTAGTGAACTATTAGTTTTCCTGGATACAATGATGGAATTGCGGTTATGTAGGAGATTGTCCTTAGGTTTTGAAGATACATGTTGAAATATTTATGGGTAACATCGATGCTTTCTACAATTTACTATGATATGGTTTAATAAAAATAAAAATTAGGGAGTGGACATTTGGCCTAGTGATTAAGACATCCCCATCACAGTGCTTGGCTCTGACTCCCAACTCCAGCTTCCTGCCAATGCAGACCCTCGGAGGCAGTGATAATGGCTCAAATACTCAGATTCCTGCCAATCATGGGGGAGGCATGGATTGCATTCCTGGCTCCAGAACCCAGAAGCAGCTCCTGGCTCTTAACTTTGGCCTGGCTCAGCCCTGGCCATTGCAGCCATCTTGGGGAGTGAACCAGTGAATGGAAAATCTCTTTCTCTCTCAGAGATCTTTCCTCTGTTGGTTTACTCCCCAGGTGCCCACAACAGGTGGGGCTGGACCAGGCTGAAGCCAGGAGCCAGGAACTCCATCTGGGTCTCCCATGTGGGTGGCAGGGCCCCAAGCACTTGGGCCATTTCCTGTTGCCTTCCCAGGCACATTAGCAGGGAGCTGGATAGGAAGCGACTGAACTGGCGCCCCAATGTGAGATGCTGGTTTCCCAGGTTGTAGCTGTACCACAATGCCAGCTCCCAAAATCTGTAATTTAAAAAGGTAAAAAATATACAAACATATGATACAAATAAGACACTCTTAATAACTACCAAATCTAGATGATGAATGCATAGGAATTTGTTGTATTATAATTTTTTAAAGATTTATTTACTTATTTGACAGGCAGTTACGAAGAAACAGGGATAGAGAGAGGTATTCCACCAGCTTGTTCAATTCCCAAATGGTGGCAACAACAGGTGCTGGGCCAGGCTGAAGCCAGGAGCCTGGAACTCCACCCGGGTTGCCCATGTGGGTGCAGGGACCCAAGCACTTGGGCCATTTCCTGTTGCCTTCCCAGGTGCATTAGCAGGGAGCTGGAATGGAAGCAGAGCAGCTGAGACTCAAACCAGCAGCCACATGGGATGCTGATGTCCCAAGCCGTGGCTTAACCTACTGCGCCACAACACTAGTCCCTGCTGTACTATGATTCTTCCCACTCTCCTATGTGTTAGAAAAATGTTAAAACATTTAAAAGAAAAAGAAATGCAGTGCTATAACAAGAGTGGAAGACAGAAAATATTATGAAAAGATTTATTCTCCCCAAAAGGAATTTAACATAAGCCCAGTCAAAAAGCCCAGCAGTTTTGTGGAAACTGATACACTTGTTCTGATTCCTCGGGAAATGCAAAGGACCAGACTGAGAGGACAGCTGAGGGACAAAGCTCGGGGCTCCGACTCCCACGGATTGATACGGAAGAAGCTACAGTACCCAAGACAGCCTGGCTGGGTGCAAAGATAGAGGTGCTGCCCAGTGGAGCGGAGGACCAGACGCACACCCAGCATGTGTTTGCTGGTGTGACTCTGACAGGCCACACTGCAGGGTGGCGAAGGAAGATGGCCTTTTCCCCCCAAATGGCACTGGGTCCCCTGGAAATACAAAGGGGGGGAAGTATACCCAGCCCCTCACCAAACACAACATTCAATTCTGCACAGATTGTGGCCCTAAACACATTACTTTTTAAAATGATTAATTTATTTATTTGACAGGTAGAGTTACAGACCGTGAGAGAGAGAGAGAGAGAGAGAGAGAGAGAGAGAGAGATCTTCCATCCGATGGTTCACTCCCCAAATGGCCGAAACAGCTGGAGCTACGCCAATCCAAAGCCAGAAACCAGGTGCCTCTTCCTGGTCTCTCATGCGGGTGCAGGGCCCAAGCACCTGGGCCATCCTCCACTGCTTTCCCAGGCCACAGCAGAGAGCTGGACTGGAAGAGGAGCAACCAGGACTAGAACCCGGTGCCCATATGGGATGCCGGCGCCGCAGGTGGAGGATTAACCTAGTGCGCCAAGGCACCGGCCCCTAAACACATTACATTTTAAAAAATTTAATTAATTTTATGGGGCTGGGGCTGTGGTGTAGTGGGCTAAAGCCTCCATCTGTGGCATCAGCATCCCATATGGGCACAGGTTTGAGTCCTGGCTGCTCTTCCTCCAATCCAGCTCTTTGCAATGGCCTGGGAAAGCAGTGGAAGATGGCCCAAGTCCTTGGGCCCCTGCACACGCATGGAAGATCTTGAAGAAGCTCTTGGCTCCTGGCTTCAGACTGGCCCAGTTCCAGCTGCTGAGGCCATTTGGGGAGTGAACTAGTGGATAGAAGACCTGTCTCTCTCTCTCTCAAAAGAAGTAAATATTTTTTAAAAATTATTTTTAAAATTTGAAAGGCATACAGACAAAATGCATCTTCCATGTGCTGGGTCACTCACCAAATGCCTGCAAAGGCTAGAACTGGGCAAGACTGAAGCCAGGGTCTGGCGCTGTGGCGCAGTGGGTTAATGCCCTGGCCTGAAGCACCAGCATCCCATAGGGGCGCCGGTTCTAGTCTCGGCTGCTCCACTTCCGATCCAGCTCTTTGCTATGGCATGGGATAGCAGTAGAGGGTGGTCCAAGTCCTTGGGCCCCTGCCCCCACATGGGAGACCTGGAAGAGGCTCCTGGCTCCTGGCTTCAGATCGGTGCAGCTCTGGCCGTTGTGGCCAATTGGGAAGTGAACCAGTGGATGGAAGACCTCTTTCTCTCTGCCTCTCCTCTGTGTAACTCTGACTTTCAAATAAATAAATAAATAAATAAAAATCTTAAAAAAAAAAAAAAAAAAAAAGACTGAAGCCAGGAGCCTGGAATTCAATGCAGATCTTCCAAGTGCTGGTACAAGAGTTAATGACTGGATACATGTGAAGTGGAAAGAGCAAAGCAAATGTTTAACCAAGTGCGAGCTGCGTTTATCAGTCATGGAATTATAGAAACAAGTGAAGAGGCATGGGGGGACATGTCACTGAGCGCCTACTGTATACCGAGCACATGGCAGACATGACCTTTCTGCCCCATTACAGCTCAGACTTGTCCAGTGAGGCAAGGCGACCTGCCCGGGGCCACACGGCCAGGACTACGGAATCAGGACGTGTACCCGAGTCTCCAAAGCTTGGGCAAGAACTCTTCAGTAAGTGTTAAGCATCAGAACGGTCCCTTCCCGGTCCGTTATTTCTTCTTTTTTAAAAGATTTGTTTTATTTATTTAAAAGGCAGACTAGTTTGAGAGAGAGAGAGAGACGGAGACACAGAGAGGGCTCTCCCATCCGCTGGTTCACTGCCCAAATGGCCCCAACAGCTAGGTCCGGGGCAGCCTAAGTCTGGAGCCTGGAATTCCACCTGGGTCTCCCAGGAGGG